GGGGGGGTCTGGGCAGCTGCTCCTGGGTGTGTTGGGAGGGTGATGGAAAGAGGCTGAATGTCTGTAATTTGTGAATCTCCAGCATCCCTGAGGCTGCAGGACTTGCAAGGGCTGTTGTTCTGTTGGGAGTGGGTGCAGGGCAGCTTCTGGGAGTGATAATGGGGAAGGAAACAGCTTCTTGCTGTGTCTTCCCCTGGCTGGAGGCAGCCTGAAATTCTCAGAAACCACCACTTTACCCTTAGCCCCGTGTGCTGGCACTGCACTGGTGCAGGGAGTGCTCTCCCCAGTGTCCCAAGGTGCCCTTGCACCAGTGCTTGGCCAAGCCCACCCTGGCTCACACAGCAATGTGCCCCCCAGCACCGGTTAGTGCCACTTCTGGCATGGGTCATGTCCCCAAACCAGCTCCTCAGCTGCTTGGGGTGCGATGGGGACCTAAAACCAGGGCTCCAGCCTGTGATTTACCTTGGCTGAAGCTGTAGTTAAACTGGTGGGGCCGCATGCGGTCGTGCACGTTCTTCTTAAAGCAGAAAATATTGTCCAACTGAGCCACCTGTGTCCACGTTACCTGGTGTTGGTGCCCACACACTGCTGTGGTCATCACAGACCCACCTGAGAAAGGGTTTTTTTGGGGACAAATGGCTCCTTCCCTCTGCGGGGCTGCCATGTCCCACCAGCCTGTGGAAGGGGAGCTGTGGGGGTGAGCACACCATCTTTTCCAAAGCGATTTTTTTCCAATCGTGGCTGTGGTGTTAAATGCCAGGGTGTTGAGCAAAAGCTGCTCGCCCTTTGGGAGACCTCTGTGTTCAGCACAGATGTCCTTGTGCTCCTGTGTTACCTCCTTCCCGGCACACTGCGCTCGGATTGCATCAGATGCCTCCTTAAAATGGCCCTGAAATCCCATCTCTGCTCATTAAAATCAGAGAAGGCAGAGCAGGGCAGGCAGGGCTCCCCGCAGACATGAGCTAAGCAGCCATCCCGACTCCAGTTTCTTATCAAACTGCAGTTTTCACGTAACAAAATAGTTTTCCTTTAGCAAACAAAGCCTCCTCTTCCTCACCTGCCCCTGGGCCGTAGCTCCTCTGCTGACAGCAGATGGATGGATACAGGCAGAGGTTCTTTGGAAGTTGCAGTGTGGCCATGTCCCTGCCCAGGGGATTGGAAATCCACGATCTTTAAGGTCCCTTCCAACTCTACACATTCTGTGGTTTGTTCAAGTGCAGGAGACTCTGTGTTGCTGCTCCATCTTGAGCTTGCACCCCTTGGATGCTCTTATCTGGCTTTGCTGCTCGTGGGGTGGTGGGGTAGAAGGAAAGGAAGAGCAGGGCTAAGGATGTGGTTGTCACAGCTGGGCAGGGCCAAACCAGCAGAGCTCATCCCTGTGGGCTTCTCAGAGTCCCTGAGAAGTGATGTTAAATGCAGTAACTGCTCAGCCCAGTGGCACTGAAAAGCCCCTGCTAAAGCATCCCGAGTGCTGTGTCATGCCTGCCCTGGTCCTGTCTGACCTTGATGATGGTGGGACTTGATCTGAAAGGTCCCTTCCAACCTAGACAATTCTCTGATCCTATATTCCAGCTGGGAGCTCCATCCCTGTGAGCCATCCCAGGGCACAAGCAATTTTATTTCATTCATAGAATGGTTTGGGTGGGAAGGGACCTTAAAGATCATCTCCTTCCAACCCCCCTGCCCTGGGCAGGGACACCTCCCACCAGCCCAGGTTGCTCCAAGCCCCCTCCAACCTGGCCTTGAACCCCTCCAGGGATGGGGCAGCCACAGCTTCTTTGGGCAGCCTGGGCCAGGCTCTCACCACCCTCACACCAAAGAAGTTCTTCCTAATATCTCCTCTCAGTCTCCCCTCTTTCAGTGTCAAACCCTTCCCCCTCATCCTATGGCTCCCCTCCCTGATCCAGAGTCCCTCCCCATCTCTCCTGGAGCCCCTTGAGGGACTGGAAAGGGCTCTGAGGTCTCCCCGGAGCCTTCTCTTCTCCAGGCTGAACCCCCCCAACCCTCTCAGCCTGTCCTCCCAGCAGAGGGGCTCCAGCCCTCCCAGCATCTCCGTGGCCTCCTCTGGCCCCATCCAACAGCTCCATGTCCATTCCCTCCCTTTGTCTTTGGGGACAGCCCTCCCTTCCAACCTGCCACTCCAACGTTAGAAGAACCCTTGCCCTCCTGCGTTTCCTCCCGTCCCCCCGGCGTTGCTGCTCGTTAGGGGTGGCAATGGCCCATGTCTGAGCATGAGCCTGATTTAACAGCTACAGAATCCTCCTGGTTTCCAAGGGAGCCCGTCGGGAGAAGAACAGCAAACACGTTGCTCCCCGAGCACCGGCTCCTTGCACCTGCCCCCCGGCTCCTTGCCGCAGATGGTCCCTCTGGGCGGTGGGAGCAGCCTTTGTTCCCTGCCATTCCAGGGGCCAGGATTTATGGGAGGGCACCGGGTAAAAAACAGAGGGGAGGGGGGAAATGTTTTGTCTGCCCTCGGTGGGGCCACGTGCTTGGCTTTTGTGCTGGGGGGCTCCGCTCCGGGGATGATGAAGGCGGTGGGATGAGGATGCTCGGTTGGGGCGGGAGCTGAGCCAGGGTCCTGGCGAGGGGCCACATCCCTCGGTGCGATGCTTTGGGGATTAAGGGGTACACGTTATCTCCAGGGTCCGGCCCAGGGGAGGGTAAATCCTGCCCTGGCTCACAGCAAGGCCAGACCATCCCAGAAGCTCCGCTCTTCTCAGGCCGTTGCCTGCGGAGGCGACGCTGGCAGCAATTCCTGGGATTCCTCGGGAAGGCTGTTCCCCCCAGGCCCCTCGCGCTTGAGAGAGGATGCGTGCCTTCTCGCCCGGCCTCCCAGAGGCACTTTAATTAGCTGTCTTGGGGGGACAGGGTGGCAGCAGCACTCGGGGACCGTGGCGATGGCTGTGGGTTATGCCATCTGCAGGGACCAGGGGTCCGTCGGGCACCTCCGGACACTGCGCAAGGGACCGTCCTTGGTGGCCGTCCTCAAGCAGGGATGGGGAGTTCAGGTTTCACCCTGGCTGTGGCGTTAGCAAGCCTGCAGAGCGGACACCGTGGCATGGGGTTTCACTCAGCAGCTCCCCTCCCTGCTTTGGCAGGTCACCTCTTGGAAATACCCTCCCTCCGTGCCCGCTGTGACACCGCTCCCCTTGATGCGCGGTGGCTTTTTGCATCCCAGGAGGGGACTTGGTTGCAAGGTCGTCCTATTCCTAGGTCTTCCCCTCCTGATGTTTCCCTCTGCAACCTTCTGGCTGTGGCTGGAAGGAGTTCCTGGGTGGGGATGGAGCTTTGGGAAAAGGAGATGAAGGAGAGGGGAGGTAGAAGGATGCTGGTCCTCCCCGGAGGGACCGGGATGGCAGACAGCCGCTTTGCATCGCGGGGACGAACGGGGAGAAGCAGCAGGTAGCTTGGCACATGCACACTCTCTTTCTAGTGCTAATAAGTCACGGCTTCAGAGGAAAATGTGCTTTAAAGCAGGCATGGAGATTCCTCAAAGGCTCTGGGGTTGCTCGGCAGCCGGCAGCTTGGTTGGTCCCCGATTCCCGCGGGGAGGCCGGGCTGGGCTCGCCGTGTCTGTGTGCCATGTTAGGCTTGTTTGCCTCTGATTTACTCCTCCTGGGGAAATTCTCCTCACCGAGGGACTTAATGTGCCCCCAGGGGTGTGCAGGGCCCTGGTCTCACTGTGGGGGTTTGCGGGGACACGTGTCCTGTTCCTGATTTGGGGTGGGCATCTGGGTATTGCAGGGCTGATTCATATTTGGGTTCCTGTTGAACACTGTGAGCAGATACATGATTTGGCACTTCCAAAACACCCCAAAAATTAATCGAGCCCATTGAAAAGAGCATTAAACTTTAAACACCCCAGCACCGTTTTATCATAGAGTGGTTTGGTCTGGAAGGGACCTTAAAGATCATCCAGTCCCACCCCTGGGCAGGGACACCTCCCACCAGACCAGGTTGCTCCAAGCCCCCTCCAACCTGGCCTTGAACCCCTCCAGGGATGGGGCAGCCACAGCTTCTCTGGCCAACCTGGGCCAGGCTCTCACCACCCTCACACCAAAGAAGTTCTTCCAAATAACTCATCTCAATCTCCAATCTTTCAGGGTCAAACCCTTCCCCCTCGTCCTATGGCTCCCCTCCCTGATCCAGAGTCCCTCCCCATCTCTCCTGGAGCCCCTTGAGGGACTGGAAGGGGCTCCAAGGTCTCCCTGGAGCCTTCTCTTCTCCAGGCTGAACCCCCCCAACTCTCTCAGCCTGTCCTCCCAGCAGAGGGGCTCCAGCCCCCTCAGCATCTCCATGATCTTTTACTGCCGTGTACTTTCTACCTTGCATTTGTCAAGTTTTGGGGTTGGCTCGAGTGTCTGGGGCTTGTTTTCCCGAAGCGGATGGTGCTTTGAGCCCATCCCTTTTGTCGGGAATATTCTCTAAGCAAAAACCAAAGGGTGTTTCTACAAACTTGTACGTGCCCAGGTGGGCTGTCACATCCCTGGAAGTGCCCCTTGCACTTGTGGGGAGCCCACAGCCTCCCTGGCAGGGGCTTTACCACCAGGACCGTGCCCCCTCCATCCCAGCAGATGGGTGCTGGGGGCATCCGGATACTGAGCACGGACATGAGGGGTGCTGGGTGATGTGAGCATCACCTGCTCTGTATCCATTGGGGGTGCACATCCCCCCTGAATGGTGTTTAAATCAGATGGAGATACAGAATGAGGACATTGCTGGGACTGGTTTCTTTAAAATGTGAGATGATGCAACGTTTGTGGCTTTGCTGTCCCACAGGCTGCCTTGCCAGGCTTGTACCTGAGCACAGCTCTAATTTTAACAGTTGTGTTCCTCTGACTCTTTAAGTAGTCTTTGTGTACAGCCCTGCAGCATCCCATGTCAGATGTGCACCCCAAAATGTGTTTGCCCTGGTTATCTGGTCTTGGGATGGACCAAAGATTTCCCTGAAAAAAAAAAAAATAGATCCCCCCTACTCTGCCAGCTTGTATATAAAGTATATAGAAAATATAGAATATATGCTCAGAAGCATTTTGGGATCACTGAGCCCTGTGCAAGCGCTCGCTGTGTGTCCCTGTGCTACTGATTTGCATTTTAAATGTTTAAATCCTGCTGGGGGGCTGATGGGGGGGGGGGCTGGCACAGGGCTGGAGGATGGCCACCTCCTGCCCCCCCAGCCCTGATCTTCCCCGGGCTCCTTTGGCCGTGGTGGTCATGGTAAAATTGCTCGGTGGCCTCGGCGCCGGAGCCATCTGTCCCCCCTGTGCAGCTGCAGCAGCGGGGTCTCAGCCCCCTTCTCCCTTCCTCCCCCTTCGTTAGCGCTTCTTGGCCGTGACGAGTTACGGGGCTCATTAGGAGGGCAGGTTCCATGGCAGTGGTGCTCTCTGCACCTCCCCAGGTGGTTTTACTTTTCCTTCTCATTTCATGTGTTTGCAAGTGATGCAAAGTGATTATTATTTTTTTATTATTTATTGCATTTTCTTGCTGCTGGGAGGTCCCAACCTGTCCCCATCACCCACCCCAGGGGACCAGCTCGGTCTGTCCCCGTGGCTGTTGTCACCATTCCCTTCCTTGAGAAGCTCCCGTGGGGAGGGGACCTGTTATTCGAACACCCTCATCTTTTATTCATCCTCATTTAGTCTAAATGTCAAGTTTTCTTTCTTTTTTCTTTTCTTTTTTTTTTTTTTTTTAATCAGGCAAATTCTCCTATCTCCGTAAACTGTCCTTTTGAAGCACAGCAGCCCTTGGAACCTGATGGCAGCAATTAGTATTCAGAGGAAGGCAGCCCTGACAACTTTCTTTGCTTGAACATATTTCTAACTGTTTAATTACTCCAGGAGCCCGTGTTTAAAACCACGGCAGTGATTTGTACCACCCGAGCCGGGGAGCAGGGCTTGCCCTTGGAGGTTGGGGGTGGGCATGGCTGAACCCCCAGTTCTGCTGTTATTCCCAGCCTACTGGGGAGCATGTTGATCTTTTTTTTTTTTTGGGCTATTTTGACCCAAAAACAAAAAGCAAGCTGGCAAACTTCAGACCTCCCCCGGTGGCATTAAAATCCCTTCTGACTGTGGATCCTGCCCGTGGTGCCGGATTTGCAGCCATCGGACCTGCCCGCAGGAGCCACCTCGGAGGGTCCTTTAAATGCAAAGTCTCTTGTTCCATGCTAAAAATTCTCCTAAGATTTATTTAGCCGGGAGGGATGGTACAGCCAGCTCTGCCTCGCCACTCACCCGTGGCAAATACCTTCCCCAGCTGTCCCCACGTTTCCGTCCCCCGCGGCTGGAATTGCTGGCATTCCCCGGCACGGCTGCGGAGGATGCTCCAGCCCCTCTGCAACTGTCTGTGGCTGTGAGACAAGGGGCTTTCCAGGAAGACACAGATGGAAAATGGGGGAAAAACAACAAAAAAAACCACCCAAAAGACAGTGGAAGGGTCATCCCTCCTTGTTTTTCTCATAGACCTGGTATTTCCAGCCCTTGCAGAGCTGCAGCCAGCAGGAACCCGGGCAGGACTGCCCTGGAAAGGGTGAAACTCTCTGCTGTCTGCTTTGGAATGTGTTTTCTGAAGCTTAATTAGGGCAGTGGAACACTTCCACAAGTGAGTCTCTCATCACTGGTCAGGACTGGGGTCTCGCTGTAGGAGCCACCAACCCTGGCCACATCACTTCAAGCGATGGAGATGCTCCCTGGTCCTCCGGACACGTTATTTTGGCTTCTTGCTTGGTGAAAAAACTCATCTAATGGACAAAAGTAGTGACTTTGGGTCATTGTGGTAACAATCATGGTTTTTTTTCACATGTTCAGAGACACTGGCCGTGTCTTCATGCCACTTGCTGTCCTTTCTTCAGGCCCCAAAACTGAACGAGCTGAGATTCCTTTGTGCCCCTTGCTGAAGCTGTGGACAAGTCTGGGAGATTTGTCTTCTGCCCATCTTCCTGCTGGATAATTGCCCTGATCTTTAATTATCTGCACCACTTAATTTCCTCCTTTATTCCCTTTTTCCCCTCACAGGTCCACTTTGACCAATTTAAAGAAGCACTTATCCTCATCTTATCCAGAACCCTGTCAAATGAAGAGCACTTCCAAGAACCAGGTAAATACTAAAATACTCAAAAATAGTGTGTTTTTTCTTTGACAAAGCAGATCTGGGTGGCTCTTGCAGAGGACCTTAGGAGAAAGAGTGCTTTTTAGGTGCTGAGATAAGCTCTTCTGCTTGGATGCCCAGATGTAGGCAGAAGGGAGAGTTATGGTCTGTTGTGGAGATCATAAAAGCGTTGTATAAAAGCGTTTTCTGAGCTATTAGATATTTCCATCCCATTACCATGATCTAAATGCCCGGAGAGGCACGTGATGTCTGCGTGTAGACAGCTTAACAGCACTTCAGGTGCTTGAGGTGTCCCAGGGCTGCTAAATGGGCTGAGGTCTCTCTACCCCACAAGGCTTCTGGTGGCCAGGGATGCTCCAGGAGCTCTCTGGTTGCAGTAGATAGTTACGGGCAGGAGATCAAACTTTAATGCTGTGGCTTCTTCCCAGCTGGGTTTGGGAGCCCTGGCTCCAGGCTGAGCTGGGGGCTGATGCCTCTGCAGGGGCTGGTGGTGGGGATTGTCTCAGGAGGGACAGCAGTGCTTTATAGAAACCCTGTGCTGGCTTTGGATGCTACTCTGGTTTTGTGAAGGTTACAAGGGGAAGCTCTCTGCAGGAGCTCCTCCTGGAGATGGGCTGCTGGACAGAGAAATATCCCTCCTGTCTAGCACTGATTTTATTATTTTTTAAATTTTTTTTAAAGTCTATTCTGTTTCCTTGTGTCTGAGATGAGTGGGGTGAGCTCGGACCTATAGAAAGCTACTGGAAGGTAGAATCATAGAATCATTTTCGTGTGTCTGAGATGAGTGGGGTGAGCTCGGACCTATAGAAAGCTACTGGAAGGTAGAATCATAGAATCATTTTGGTTTGACCTTTCGGATCATGGAGTCCAACCATCAACACAACACTGACAAACCCACCACTGACCCATGTCCCTCAGCACCACATCTGCCCACCTTTTAAATACCTCCAGGCACCCCACCACTGCCCTGGGCAGCCTCTTCCAGTGCTGGAAAAACCCTTTTAGTGAAGAAATTTTTCCTAAAGGTGGTACTATATCTACCAGGGGACGGTCAGTCTGGCCCAAAGATGCTTCTGAACAAGATGAGCTCCTTGACTAACCAGGCAGGGGTTGGTGGGAGAAAGCAGTAGGTGCTGCGAGTTCTCACTGTCCTGTTTTCTCCTTCCCTTTGCTTCACTGGGCCTTTAAAAAGTGGTTTGTTTGGGTTTTTTTAAGACCCTCAGCAGGGAATAGAGTCACAGCTTCGGTGTGCCCCCCCTCCCTCCCACCCTATGCAGAAGGGGCTGGTGATGCTGGGAGCACTGGGGAGGTGTGGGGCTGGGGTGAGGGCTCCAGCTGGAGCCTGGGGTGGAGGGGGGAGGTGGAGGGTTGAGGTCTGCCTGGGTCACACCTGTATGTAAATCCCTAATCCTGCCTTGGGTCCTGTTTTCTCCTTCCCTTTGCTTCACTGGGCCTTTAAAAAGTGGTTTGTTTGGGTTTTTTTAAGACCCTCAGCAGGGAATAGAGTCACAGCTTCGGTGTGCCCCCCCTCCCTCCCACCCTATGCAGAAGGGGCTGGTGATGCTGGGAGCACTGGGGAGGTGTGGGGCTGGGGTGAGGGCTCCAGCTGGAGCCTGGGGTGGAGGGGGGAGGTGGAGGGTTGAGGTCTGCCTGGGTCACACCTGTATGTAAATCCCTAATCCTGCCTTGGGAGCAGCTGGGGGGGTGGGGGTGTGTGTGTGTGAAATCCCAAGGAGAAAACAGCTTAGCAAGAGGGAGGGAGAGGGGGGAAACTCCAGGTTTCCTCTCCTGGAGCATCAATCTCAGCTGGAGCATCCCGCGCTCCAGAGTGCAGCAAGTCAGCAAAATTACAACTTTTCCTCCTTAAATAGGCTGCAAAAACCACAAGAGATGGGTTATTATTTTTTTCCTGCCCCTTGTTTCCAAAGCTCGTGATGCTCAGAGGGAGGTGGGACTCTTTGTCAGGAAGGGTAGTGACGGGATGAGGGATAATGGCTTTAAATTGGAAGAGGGGAGAATGAGATTAGATATTATGGAGAACTTCTTTGCTGTGAGGGTGGTGAGAGCCTGGCCCAGGTTGCCCAGAGAAGCTGTGGCTGCCCCATCCCTGGAGGGGTTCAAGGCCAGGTTGGAGGGGGCTTGGAGCAACCTGGTGTGGTGGGAGGTGTCCCTGCCCCAGGGCAGGGGGTTGGAAGGAGGTGGTCTTTAAGGTCCCTTCCCACCCAAACCATTCAGTGATTCTAGGTGGGTGCTGGCAGTTCTTGCACCCAGCAGCCCTTTTAATGCAGTTTTCCTGCAGGTCAGGGGGGGCTTGGGGAGCCAGGGGGGAGCCTGGTGAGGGGTTGTTTCTCCCACCACCCCTTCCAACCCCTGGGAGAGGAGCTGGCACGAAGCAGAGATGCAACCCCAGCCAAGCAGAACTAATCCAGCACTCTGCCTTTATTGGGGAAATCATACGGCTGAGAAGCTCCGGCACGATTTAAATATAAATAAAGTCCTCCAGAAAAGGGCTAAATTTGGGGTTATCACTGGGGAAATTCTACAGCGTGGCTGCGCTGGAGCTGGAGAGCCCTCCTTGGGGACACGTTTGTCACTGGGTTTTGCGTGGCAGGTAATCAAAGGGCAGGTATGGAGCCTGCGCCCGGCAGGTCCGGGAGGCATTTATTATTATTATTTTTATTTTTTTTAATGCGTTTTGACAGGTCAGTTAACACCAAAGTCTTTTGCTGCTTTTAATTTAGATCAAACCGGAGATTTGGAGAACAAGCTGCTTGTGTGCTGTGGGTGTCAAACTGTCAAGTGAGTGTGGCAAAGGCTTGGTGGTACAGCCTGCCCCGGGCTCGGGGGAAAAAATTGAGTTAAGAGCTCCAAAATCGTATCATTTAAATGAAAATTTGATTTGGGGGGAGAAGGGGGGAAAAAAAAAAGGGCAAAAAAAGCACAGATTTTAAGGCTGTTTGCTGCGTCTGGAGAGTTTTCTCTGCGAGGAAGTGGCTGTGTCCCTTGATGCTGTGGGACTTGGGTGATGGGGAGGTCCCTTTGGGTTTTTTGGGAAGCTGGAGGGTTGGTGTCTTCACTGTCCAAACCATCTGCCCCCCCAGGCAGCTTGTGCTGTGTGACCAGAGAGGGGGGACCCGGCAGGGGACAGCATGGTTGTCCCCAAGGGCACAGCCATCCTTGGGGAGAATGGCTTGGCACAAGGAGAGCCTGGAGGTGACCCACGGGCTGGGGACAAGGAACCAAAACTGCTGGGGGGGTGCAAAAACAGTTCCTGCAGAAGCAGCTGGTGGGGGTTTTCCCATTTTGGGGGGGGGGAAGCAGCAGTGGGAGAGGCGCTCAGGCTTGCAGAGAGCAGCTGATATATTTATTTATCTTATTATATTTTTATTTTTTTGCTTGGCAAAGAAGCTGAATTCCCTTCCCAATGGGCAGGCTGGCAGGGAGGATGGTCCTGGCGTGCCTCCAGGGGGGCTCTGCCCAGGAAGCAGCCCTGAAAATAGGGGGCAGGGAGGGTTCCCAGTCCTGCTGCCATCAGCTCTGTCCCCTCCAGGATGCTGGTGGTGGGGACATGGACCCAACTATGAACCAGAGCATCACCCGGCTGGGAAAACCCCAGCTCTGCTGGGAAGTGGCCTGGCTGGGTGGAGGAACCCGGGTGGAAAAGCAGAAAAAGACCCAAACGTGTCTTAAAATAGTGGTTATTTTAGCTCCTGCAAGCAGGAGTGTGACTGTCGGGGAGACTTGTCACCCCCAGCAGCTCCTCGGGCTTTGCAGAACTGCCTGACAAAGCTGGTGTGTGTGTGTGTGGATAAATTGGAGCCCAAATCCCTGGGGTTTGGTGCTTTGGAGAGATGCTGCTGTGGGGCTGGGGGCTGAGCCTGTGCCCACTGGGAGCCCCATGGCACCCAGACTGGGCACTGCTGCCACCCATGCTCTTTATCCATCACTGTAGGGATGGGGTTCTGTATCCATCACATTGAGGGAGGGGCTCTGGGGACAATAAAATAGATTTAAGGGTGGAAAAGAGAAAAAGAAAAGCAAGGAAAAAAAAATAATCAGTTATGTGGGTGATTAGGGGGTAAAAAAAAAAATAATCAGGCTTTTTTCCTCCCCATTATGGTGAATAAAAAGTCAGCTTTGTGCATTGGAAGCCTGGATGGGGAGGGATTATTGGGGTGGAGCACAGGATTACGGGAACACCCAGGATAAATTAAAGAGCAGTTTGACGCCATCCTCCCTGCGGTCACGAGGGGCTGTTGGCCCAGGATAAATTAAAGAGCAGTTTGACGCCGTCCTCCCTGCGGTCACGAGGGGTTGTTGGGTTGTGTTTTGGGTTTGTTTTGTTTTTTTTCCTTCATCCCAGCACATGGAGACAACAGAGAGGAGTTGGTGGGGATGATGCTCTCGCAGAAATCCCACCCATGGGGAAAAGGCTGATGGTGTGGCTCCAAAGATCTGGCTCCACCAACAGCCCTGGGTGGGAGCAGGTATAAAACTGTCCGGGCAGGGATAATTTAATGCACAGGTAATGCCTCCGGGCCAAAATATTTTGATTTTTTTTGGGCTGTGCTGACCCAGCTACCGCTCCTCTCCATCTCTGCTGCTGAGCCTGAAGCGTGAAATAAGCTCTAGGAGGAGTTTAGATGGTACCTGGTGTCTCAGGGACAGGGATTTAGCAGATCCTGGCCACAATGGGCTCCGATGCTGTGAGGAGGATCCCTCCCTTCCCCATCATAAGCAGCAAAGAAATTAATTTCTCCTCTAAACGATGGGTTCGTGGGGCGAGGGTCTTCCTCCTCTAAACCCCCTTTTGTCTGCGCTCGATGGCTTTGATGCTGCGCCCAGGAAAATGCCGCTCGCCATGGAGGGGAGCCCCCCCCCTCCCCATCTCCTCCCCAAGCATCTGAGGGCAGAGCAGGATTTTAAAATGACTTATCTAGCGCAGAAAGGCAGAAAATCAAGTGTAAATCTCTAACCGTGGAGACGTTTAACTGCTGAGATGGACGGGGCGGGGGAGTGGGGGGAGCGAGCTGGGGAATTGATGGCTCCTGTCTGCAGCGCTTAAATTGGGGAGGGGGTGTCTTGTGAAATGCAGATCTAGGGGTATGATCGTTTTAATTTTTTTATTATTTCAGGGGCACTTTGGGGGCCCACAAATCCCCCCAGGCAGGGAGGCAAGAGGCTTGCTCTCTCCAGCCTGGGGGCAGTTTTGGGGGGGGGGGAGCAGATCAGACCCCAGTGTCTAATTAGGCGCCAGCTCTGGAGTGTGTGTGTTTTACTAAGCCCGCACGTTGCCCAGGGCTGTAGGAAGCAGGGAGGGTTCGACCTATTTTCTTTTTTTCTCTCTTTTTTTCTTTTTTTTTATCCCCTTTCTTGGCGGCTCGTCAGGCACACGACAGCGAGGGGCCGTGAGGAGCAGCATCGCCCCTTAGACATTGGGGGGGGTGGTACCAGAGGTCAGGCTGCAGCAAGAGCAGCACCCCCCCCTCAGTGTTCGATACACATTTTTGGGATAAATAATAGTGTTTGGGATAAATAACAGACAGGGCTGTCCATGTGCCTCTGTCTCAGGGGGAGCATTGATTTTTTTTGATGTCTCCCTCCCATTTCTTCATGTGTCTTTGAAAGCACATGTGGCTTGAGCAGCTCTCTCCATCTTTCCTCCTCAGTTTGGGCTGGAGATGGGGAGATTTGTTTGTTTTCAGGTCATCAGTCAACTTTCTGTCCTTGGGGGAGCAGGGGGTGGGCGCTGCTTTTTGCTGGGTTTGTGCATGCTCAGCTTTCCCCTAAATCCTGGGGATGGAAGGGGATGCTGGAGATGGTGGGGAGCATCAGGGCTGCTGCTCTGGGGGTTTGGGTTGGGAAAGGAGGAGGGTGGAGGGGCTTGGAGGATGCTGCACGTATGGTTCAGAGATGATAGGGCTTTCTGTAAAGGGGATGGATCCTTTAAGTGCTCTCAGGGCTGGGGCTGCAGGATGTGGTCCCTTATACCAGTGCGTGGACCCATAACAAGAGGTTTTCTTCTGCACCTTGCACTCTGCAGCCAAGGGCATGAAGGTGAAGGGGGGCCAGCAGGGGAAAAGCTGTGACCTGGTGTTAAAGAAAGCACCCTGGCTCTGGAAAGGGGATTTTGGGGTGCCTGAGCTGGGATCCCCCCTAGGCAGCTGGGCTCGGGCACAGCCTGTTTGGAAGCTGGAGCTTTGCAAGGCAGGAGCAAACTTTCTGCTCTTCTCACATTGTCAAGGGTCACTTTTTTCCCTCCCAGGGAGGCTTTCAGGCTGCTTAATTTCTTAATTGCCAAGGGGGAAAAAAAAGCACACCCAGGTGCTCAGCCCAGAGGAGAGGGACAAATCAGCTGGCAGCCTCCGAATGCTTAAAACACAAGAATTGGGGAGATGCTCCTGTTTCCCCACCTGCTGTTAAAGGGCATGAGGGCACCTGTATTTCCACAGACAGCTGGATTTTCAGCTGCAGAGGTGGTTAAACACACTGTTGGGGGGTGGGTGGGGGTGAAAACAGGGCTCTTCTGAGCATTGGGAAATCCAGAAGGAAATTAAGCCATCGCTTCATTATTGCTAAATTACGGCTTCTTCCCTCCCCCCATCTTTCTAAAGACAGATGGGTTTCTGTCTTAAAAGAGGAAAAATTATTTCTTAAAAAAAAAAAAAAAAAAAAAAAAAAAAAAAAAAAAAAAAAAAAAAAAAAACCAACCCACAAAGCCCCCCAGCTCTGTTCTGTGAGGGCGGGGGGGAGATGGCAGGGAGAAAATAAATGGGTGAATGAGTAGCCACAAATATTAGCATTTCAGAGAGAGCTGCTGGATGGAGATTGTTCACCACCGGGCAGGCTTTAATAGGAGTGATAAGGTTTGCTTTTGTTCTGGGCTCTTACTTAATCAGCCTGCCTCATTGCAAGGGCTTTTTTTTTTATTTTTTTTTTATTTTTTATTTTCTATCGGTGCACTTCATCGCCCAACTTTCATCTGCGAGTCCCAGCTGCAGCAAATCTTGTTAAAATGGCCTTGTTCAAACACGGGCGCCGGGTTTGTTCCCTGGAGCTGCAATATGGATGGGATGGAGCGCGAGGCTGCAGGAATCAAAGGACTCCTAGCCCTGTGTATTTTATAATTCATTGCATAGCTAAGTTGCAGAATATATATATATATATATATTTTTTTTTTCCCCCTCTAACAAGCTTGAAGCCTTCTTCCATATCTAAAGGAATATTACCCAAGGAGGGTTTGGGCAAGGGGGGTGGTTTTAGAGACCCGCTGCTTTCTGTGTAGGGTTTGTCAATGATTGAACAGCTTCCCTGCTCCTTATTAGTATTGCACTCTTGCATTTATTTTGTACCAGAGCCCTCTGCAAATAAAATTTTAAAAAGCTGCTGCTCTGGGCGCGCTGCAAGTGGCGGAAAATAAAGATGATGGAGTCCTGGGGGGGTTTCGATGGTGAGGTTAGCAAACACTGAGACAAAGCGTGGCGGAGAGCCTTTCCCTAATTGAATCCCTGGTTAATTTGGTCCTCCGGTTAATTTGCCCCCTGCTCCAGACGTAGGGGATGACTCTGGCTGAAAATAGCCCAAAACGTGCTTATTTATTTTATTTTATATATTTATTTTGTTTTGACGCCTTGTCTGTGAGTGCTCCCAGATAATTTGGTCCCCGAAGGCGCAGGGGGTTGCTGGAGCCAGGGAATGCCAGGGGAGCCTCCCAGCCCCCTCTAATTAGATGATGACTCCAAAGGGTTATTTAGATCTCGCAGTTGGTGCCGGCCGCACGGTGCAAGCTGGGACCTGCCCCTCCATCACCCACATCAGCTGCTCGTGTCAGCCCCCGGGGGGGAACCTTCACCTCCAAACTTGCCCAATTGTATTTATTTATTTATTTATTTTCCACCCACCCGATTTGTTTTGACACTTTTAAGGGAGCTGTGATTTAAATGGGCTGAAAGCAGGGGCGGTCGCCCAGGTGTCTGCTTAATCTGGAGACCTGAGCTGCTCAAGTGCTACCCTGTCCCTAATTAAACCTGCCCGTCGCCAGTAATGAAGATTAGTGCAAGGAGGGGAGCCCTAATTGACTTTCCATCCAAGACTGCGTTTGTGAGGTGGGAGGGTTTTTTCCATCCCATCTTGTTAATGGAGCAAACCTGATTTGGGAATTTGGGAAGGGTGAGGAAGATGGAGCCCTGATTCCACTTTGTGACAACAGGTGTTTGGTTTGGGTTTTTTTGGAGCAGGACCAATTCCAGCCCATCAGGCCCGATGCCACGGTGAGGGGGGCTGGTCCTGGAAAGGAGCTGGTTCCTGCTCAGGGTGGTGGCAACTTGGTGCTTGAAACACTGCGGCCAAACCTGCCCTGTCTGGTGTGACCCGGGAGCTGGATCTGCAAAAATCAGGTTACCAACGAGTTTTCTTCTTGAATTTCACAGATTCTTCCCCAGAAGCCCAGCCCAAGTACATCAAAGGTGGCAAACGCTACGGCCGGCGGTCCCTGCCGGAGTTCCAGGAGTCGGTGGAGGACTTTGCTGAGGTGACCGTCATCGAGCCGCTGAGCGAGGAACCGCATCCCCCGCTCATCGCGTCCAGCGGCTGCCAGGAGGTGAGCGGGAAGGGACCCCCCAGATGTCACCCACACCACCCCAAGGGTCTTTGGCTGTCCCAGGGAAGGTGACGGTCACCCACCTTGCCAGGTGGCACCTCCTTTGCTCCAGCCCCGAATTCCTGGGGTTGCTGTGGGAAGCCGGGATGAGACGGGCTCACGTGGTGACACTGGCTGGTCCCCCCAGCTCCTGGCTGTGGTGTGGGCCAGCAATTAAGCGAGGGCCGTAAGGCTGCCTCCGTGGCTAACGAAGTGTGGGCTGGGAGCTCCACGAGCAGAAGGAGCACGTCCTCATCCATTAGTTAGAGCCTGGCAGAGGGGATGGGGAAGAGGGAGGGTGAGCAGCAGAGCTCTGCGTTGGGACCATGCCCTAAATCCAGAGCCACCACCTTCTCCTTCCAGCCTTCCACTTCTTATTTTCCCAGTTTGCCCGCTCCTGCACCACAGGAAAAGGCTGGAGACCCCAGGAGCTGCACAACCCCCCCACCCCACTTATGGCTGTGCATATACTTGCTAAAAAATCCAGCTTTTATTTCTTTTTTTTTTTTTCTGCCTCCTTATGGCTGTGCATATACTTGCTAAAAAATTCAGCTTTTTTTCTTTTTTTTTTTTCTGCCTCCTGGTTTTGTGCTCAAAATTAGTGGCTCTCTTTGTGCTGGTGCTTTCAACCCCGGAATCTCTTCTCTGGAATCTCCAGAACAGAAAAGCAAGAGGTTGAGGGGTGGCTGGGTATGGTGGCATGTGTTAGGGTACGGCCACGGCAGCCTTTTCCCCGGAGCTGGGCTCATTCCAGCCCTGCCCTGGGTTTGCCAAGTATTGTTGATTCAGGAGGACTCGGGGGGGGAGTTTTCCAGTGGAAAGGAGAAATGCTGTTGCTGTTTCCTCCCCTCCTCTGCCTCCTGGCTTCGCTTCTGCTGCCCTAGAGATGGGGATGATGGGTGGGGGGGCCTCTGCAGCCCCCCGTGTAGGGGAACACTCACAACCCTGCAGGGGGAAGCAAGGGAGAAATGTCCAATTTCCAGGTTTCCAGTGTTATTCCTACACAACTGAGCTTAAAATTAGGGGAAAAAAAAAAAAAAAAGAACCTCAAAGAAAAGGTTTTGAGGATCCAGCTTCTTTAACCCTGTTCTCACTAACCTTTGCTCACCGCTCTGGGGATGCTCATCCATCTCCTGGTGCCCTGACCTTGAAATCAATGTTAATCTGCCCCCAGCCCCCAGGGAAGCCATGGCCTCCAGAGAAGAGGCCACTCCGATCTTGCTCCTCTGGTTTTAGTTGTCAGGGAGGTGTAAAAGGCCAGTCTATTAACAAGGTCACTCGATTAACCCAACCGGTACGTAACCACGCCGTGCTCCCCGTGGGCTGCAGCAGTCTCCTGGTGGGACCTCTTCTTGTGCCTTTTGGGATGGGTGGGGTGGTTAATTCTCTTGCAACTTGAGCAAAACCCGGGCTAAATCTGTAAAATCCCCACTTTCCATCTTTATCAGCGTTACTTTCTTGTCTCTAAAAGATGATCCTTTCTGTGTGTACAGGAATTAGTTGCTTGAAGGCATTGGAGGTCCCGGGGGTGTTGGAGGCTCCTGGAAACATTGACTTTCTGGGGTTTGGTACAAGCAGAAGCCTTTGCCCAGGTTTCTCCTGGTGCATGTATAAACACGCTGCTGCCTGTCTCCGGCCCGGGGTGTTTTGCTGGCCTGAGAACTGGGGCAGTGTGGCTTAATTGGTGCTTTCTTTCAACCCTTGCCAATTAAAAGGGCTCAGGCTGTGTCTGAGAGGCTTCCGTCCCCTTCTCGTCTCTGTAAACACGGGAGGAGAGGCTGGAGGGGCTGGTCTGGGCGTGGGAGAGAGCCCAGAGAGGCTCTGCCACCTCCGTCCCTGGTGGCTTTCCAGGTGCCACCAGACAAAGTCGTGAGCAGCTGGGTCTGAATTCAGCAGAGAGTGGTGTAGGGATCCCAAGGTTCCTTCTGACCCTCATGAGTTTGTCCCCAAAGATGCCACTAGGCTAATGGGTGATGAGAAATGAGTGGCTCTGGCAACTTCAAGGATGTGGTGCTAATGGAGCTGCAGCCATGAAAGCACCTAGAAATGCAACGTGAAAGCTTGTGGTGGTTGAAGGTCCATGTCTCTAGCCCCAGGTGGCTCTTGAGCTTGTTTGTCCTAAACTCTTGATGCAGGTGATGGGCCTTGGTGGGCTTGGGAAGTGCTGTGACCTTGCTTTCCTTTCCTTGTTTGCCTTGTGTTATCCCTGATGATGCTCTGCTCGGTGGTGGTGGTGCAGGGTTGGGATGGGGGAGCAGGTTTGGTGGCCGTGGGATACCAACCCCAAGCTGGTGGTAGGGCAGCAGCACCTTTTGGCCCATGGGTCGCCAGCAGCACAGCCCTGGGTACACAAAAGATGTGGCCAGCCTTAAGGCCATGTTGACCTCCAAATGGCAGCGTAGGGCGTCTGCCATCTCCCCTTGCCCAGCTGCTCCAGGAAAGGTCCCTCCTACTTGCAGGTTGTAGAAACTTCTGCCGTGTCCCAGCTCTGTTGGAGAAGGTGATGCCCAGTGAAGCCACTGGCTTCCCAGACATCCCTGTGTTTGCTTCTGCACAGAGTGGTTTCCAGCGTGGCATGGCCCCTTCCAGCAAAACCTTCTGGGAGGGTCGGGCTGGAACTCTTTGTCTTCAGGTCCTTGATGTCCAAGTGTAAGGCTCCCGAAGTCCAACTGTCCCGTAAAGCCAGGAGCTGCAAATAACAGCTCTGGATAGTGCTGGCTCCCCTAAAAGGTGCCTTTATTGATGTGACTCTGGTGCTTGGCAGAGTGGGTTGTGGAGATTTGTTGTCTCTCTGGAGCTCTGGCTGCTCCAACCAGGGAGCTGGTCCCTGGGCGAGCAAGGAGGTAGCGATGGGGGGCCATCAGCATTGCTGTGGAGGCTTCACCTTGCTGCCCGCGGAGCAGACAAGGCTCAGCGTGCGCTCCTGATCGTCATGTTAATTAGCAATATATTCTGGCGGAGAACAAAGGTCTGTCTTGCTAAAGCAGATGGTGGGGGGTGGGGGGGGAAGAAGAGAGGTTCCTGCTTTATTATGGGGAAGAGGCCACGGCGAGCAAACGGCACAGGCTGCAGATGCTCGCCCGGGCCCCGAGCATTGAAAGCCCTGGCCATCTGCTCCTCCAGCCCGGCCAAGCACGCGCCGTCCCCAGTCATCACAATAAAGATGCATTCCTGGGGTGGGCCCCTCCCCATGTGCGTGACCCCCATCCAGCTGTAGGGGCTGGGGGAACAATGACACGGGGATGAGCCACCTCCCCCAGCCCTGGCTTTGTCCTCCCACCGGTGGTGGCCGACCCCGAGTCCTCGCCCTACAAAGAGACACCCCCCCGAGCCCTCCTCGGCACGGGGAGGGAGGTGACACAAGCATCCCGGGGTGGGTGGCAGTGGTTGGGTGTTCATGGAGTTACTGTGGTTTGGGGGCTCTTGATTTTTTTTTTGAGGCAGGTCCTTGCAGCGAGAGGGTCTGCTGCTAAATGGTTTAGATCTGATTTTACTTTTTCTTTTTTAATATAAAAATATATGCTAAATGGTTTAGATCTGATTTTACTTTTTGGCTTTTTTTTTTAATATAGAAATATACATGTTGTTTCTGGAAAAAGGCTCGGAGACAGCAGTGGTCCCTCTTCTTGAGCATCACCTCGGTGTCCTACCCCTCCCTAAGGATGAGTGGCTGCAGGGTGGTCCATCTGGCACCCAAAGATACTTTCTCCCAGCCCTGAGCTGGCTGTTGTGTATGTACAGATGCTAATGGGCTGGCATGGTGTCAGCTCCTGTGTTTTTTGGGGAAAACGGGCTGTTTTCTGCCTTCCCAGATGGTAATTTGAAGGTACCTGTTGCCTCGGCTCCTGCTTCTTGTGTGTTTGCCCTGATGGTTTATCAGCCAAGCCAGGGACCTGCCACCCCAATGCCTCGGTGGTGGTGCCAACAGGACAAAAATCTGTGCCTTCCCTACTGTAATTATTATATATGATGTTTTTGGTGTTGTCCAGAGCAGCCAGCAGAGCTGCAGGTTCCATCCCTGCCTGTGACCTCCTGCCTCTGCCAGGCTGATTTCTGCCCGGGAAAGCAAAGGTTAAGCAGCTCTCCCTCCATCCGAGGCTCCCCCCCAAAAGTAGAGGGACACCTGGAGATGCTGTGGGACCAGCAAACGCCCCTCGGATGGGTCCAGCAGATGAAAAGGGAGAGCTAAAAAAAGTCCAGTGACCTAATCCAGTTTCCATGGCAACGTTGCAGATTAATGGCTTTTAGCTGTAATCTAAATGAGATGTATTGAACTTTTTATATGATGATTTAGAGCCTCTTTATGTCCGGGGGTGACTTTGACTTCAAATCCATCAGTCACGTGCGGGCAGAAGTAGCCACTTGTAGGGGTGGAGAAGGAACATCTGCCGCTGCTAAACCAGGAGTTAATGTCTCTGAGCATCGTCTGTGAGTAAATACCCTGGGACAAGGGCGGTAGAGACAGGACAGCGTGTAGTACACAGGGAAATCATTTTAAATCAGGTATTTCTGCCCTGCTCCTGGTGCCGCCTGAGCTGACGTGGTGTTGTCACAGCAGGATGGCTTAAGACCAGCAAAGAGTGTGTGTTTTGGTTTTTTTTTTTCTATTTTATTTTTTATTTTTTCTCTAGCTAGCTCAGCAGAGAGCTTCTTGGCAGCACAGCTCCATCTCCTGACCTGGAGGCGTTTTGGGGTGGGCTGGGGCTGCTGGCCCTCAGGCTCTGCCCCTGCTCAAAGGGGAAAGGCTTGAAGCAGCAAAAGTTTCATTTCCCAGATGGCACGTGCTCTGGAAGCTGATGTCCCCATCATGCTTCTGGGTTCATTGCAGCTTAATTACCTGCCGTGGATGTGTGTCCCTGGGTGACGTGGTCGTCCATGGAGGGGGGTGAGGACACAGGATGGTGGTGTTCCATGGAGGTTTCTGCCAAGGGCTACCCGTGACGGGGATGCTCAAGTCCCAGCACGTAGGCTGGTTGTATATAAGGTCCACGTGGGCTGGGGGTGGCAGTTCTGCAATGGGAAAAGAGGGTGCTGGAAGGAAAGGATAACTCAAACTCAGGTGGTGCTGCAGCCCCTGATCTCCCAGGTCAAGGAAGGTGATTCTGCCCCTCTACTCGGCTCTGGTGAGACCCCACCTGGGTTACTGAGTCCAGCTCTGGAACCTTCAGCACAGGAAGGACATGGACGTGTTGGAGTGGGGCCAGAGGAGGCCCCGGAGATGCTGGGAGGGCTGGAGCCCCTCTGCTGGGAGGACAGGCTGAGAGAGTTGGGGGGGTTCAGCCTGGAGAAGAGAAGGCTCCAGGGAGACCTTGGAGCCCCTTCCAGTCCCTCAAGGGGCTCCAGGAGAGATGGGGAGGGACTCTGGATCAGGGAGGGGAGCCATAGGATGAGGGGGAATGGTTTGACACTGAAAGAGGGGAGATTGAGATGAGATCTGGGGAAGAAATTGTTGACTGTGAGGGTGGTGAGGTGCTGGCCCAGGTTGCTCAGGGAAGCTGTGGCTGCCCCATCCCTGGAGGGGTTCAAGGCCAGGTTGGAGGGGGCTTGGGGCAACCTGGGCTGGTGGGAGGTGTCCCTGCCCAGGGCAGGGGGGTGGGACTGGATGGTCTTTAAGGTCCCTTCCCACCCAAACCATTCTATCATCTTCCCTGCATCCTCATCATCTCGACCATCGACACCTCTAAGCCAAGCAGCACGGTTTGCTTGGAGGGCATATCTCTTCTTCCCCAACAACCTGCCCGACTCAGATCTGTCACCTCTCTTGGGTCATCTGCAGGGCTTTAGGTGCCTTTTGCTGCAGCTGTGGTTTCTCCCCACTGCAGAACCTTGCGTGCCAGAAAAAAGGCAGCATCAAAGAGCCGTGGATTGCCAGCCCAGCCCAGGGGGAGTGGGGAGATGAAAGCCTGGCGGCGTTGCTGGAGCCCTGTAGCTCGTTTGATGCTGATGGCAGAGTCTTTCATACGGGTGATGTCTTGCAATAGTAATAACCCGGGAACCTTTCGTTTTCTCCCCCAGCACTGGAAGACGCGAGACAGCGAGGAGTACGAGGCCGAGGGTAAGAGCAAACAGCAGCTTGGATGTGCTTATTATTCTCTTTCCAGCTTTGAAGGTGGATCAGAGGAGCGCTCTGAGATGCCCTCAGGCCAGCTGGGTGCACTGAGAGGTCCCAGCCCGACGTGGTGCAGGGCTCAGCAAGGGGCACATGGGGTGAGCAAGCCCCGAGCTGGCCACACAAACTAAAATGGGGCTTCTTGGAGGGCACAGTCTTGTGTCTTGCCCTTTCTACCCTCTTTTTTTCCTCCAGCCCGGCGCAGGTGCTGCCCTGCCGCAGGTGTCCCCCGTCTCCCTGGCCCCATCACCCCCAGAGCAGCAGTTGGGGCTGGTCCTGGTCCCCCCTCCTGCCCTGGGGCCACTGGCTGTAGTGGAGCACGGTAGGCACTAGGTGTCAGCACGGACCACTCATTAAACCTGTGTTAATTATCCTGTAAGACCCCCCCAGGGTGACTGGGGGGCTCTGGTGCTGACCCACAGCCCACAGCGGGAACCTTTCGTTTTCTCCCCCAGCACTGGAAGACGCGAGACAGCGAGGAGTACGAGGCCGAGGGTAAGAGCAAACAGCAGCTTGGATGTGCTTATTATTCTCTTTCCAGCTTTGAAGGTGGATCAGAGGAGCGCTCTGAGATGCCCTCAGGCCAGCTGGGTGCACTGAGAGGTCCCAGCCCGACGTGGTGCAGGGCTCAGCAAGGGGCACATGGGGTGAGCAAGCCCCGAGCTGGCCAGAAAAACTGAAGTGGGGCTTCTTGGAGGGCACAGTCTTGTGTCTTGCCCTTTCTACCCTCTTTTCTTCCTCCTGCCCGGCGCAGGTGCTGCCCTGCCGCAGGTGTCCCCCGTCTCCCTGGCCCCATCACCCCCAGAGCAGCAGTTGGGGCTGGTCCTGGTCCCCCCTCCTGCCCTGGGGCCACTGGCTGTAGTGGAGCACGGTAGGCACTAGGTGTCAGCACGGACCACTCATTAAACCTGTGTTAATTATCCTGTAAGACCCCCCCAGGGTGACTGGGGGGCTCTGGTGCTGACCCACAGCCCACAGAGATGTGTTTGTAACCAAGCCACGCCGCTTCTGATTGCTTCCACCCCTTGTCCGTATCTCAGCTGCTCTCCAAACCCCCACCCCATCCAAAGGGACCATGTTTTTTGCTCCAAAAGCTGCTTTTCCAGCCCCAGGGGTGAGGTATGGGGGCAAGGAGGTGGCCTTGCAGCTGAGCTCTTACTGGTGTGTGTCTGGTGAGGATTCCCAGCTGGGTGGGACTGCACTCCAGGCGTTTGCTGGAGGTAGAGGAGATGTGTTCAGCTGAAGGCTGTTGGGTTTTCTCCTTCCCCTGAAGGGGTGTTTGGAAGTACTTAGATAAAAACATACACTACAGTTTACATCCAAAGGGGATGGGACTTGAGGCAGCTCCAGCTGGTGGGGGACACTTTTGGAGACAAGCAGCCACTGAAATTCTCCATCTGGTTAAGGTGTATATGGATATGCAACTTGCCCAGTCCTCTCCCTTGATTCCATAACTGCCCAGAAGAGGAGGAGACCCTTCTCTCCATCCATGCCAGGGGACTCATCCATGTCCCCAGAGATGTTCCTGGCTGCAGCTCACCCTGCACCTGGATATGAGGTTCCCTTGCCCATGGTGGCACATGTGAGTTGAACGCTGAGCAGGATCTGCTCCTTCTGAGAGAGTCTGATAGCTGTGCTGGTAGCTGCACCCCAAAATTAAAGTGCGGTCTGTGCAGGATGAGGTGAGGAAATGATCCCATGGAGTCTGATGTGCAAGGAGGAAAGCAGCAGCAGAGAGTGCAGAGCCCCCAGGTCTCCTGGTGGCCGCCCACGTGCAGTGGATGAGCCAAAACCGGAGCATTTTTTCCCCATATCCAGGGCAGCTGCGTTTTTGGAATCCAGATGACCTGAACGCCTCCCCCAGCGTCTCGCTGCCCACCCCGGACTGGATAGAGGAGAAGCTGCAGGAGGTCTGTGAGCACCTTGGCATCACCAGGGATGGCCACCTGAACCGGAAAAAACTCGTCTCCATTTGTGAGCAGTACGGGCTCCGAACGGCGGCCGGGGAGGTGAGTGGCCACCTACGGACCCACTCACACCTGGGTTTTTAGTGTGGCCCCCACAAAGCCTTGTCCTGTGGTTGACCACAACAACTCACTACCTGGAAGGTGGTTTCCAGCTCCAGCTTGTGACTTTCCAGTGATTTTTTGATGGTGTTAAACCATCACTCTGGTAGAAGGCAGCTGCCAGCCTCGCTGACACTGTAGCATGCGTGTCTTCTCGTGCGATCGCAGAGCAAAGTGGAATTTAAAAAACATATCCCAGATTCCAAGCATGTCTCCTTAATCCCAGACATCTTCTAGCTAGACAACAAATAGGGGCTAAAATATTCATAGGTGGTTGCTTTTGCCTTTGTGAAGGCCCAGGGGGTGTTTCTGTCCTGTAGGAAGAATCCACAAGAAAATTATTTCCCTGGCAAAAAGTCTCCTGTCAACTTAAGATTCAGTTTTGTAAAAAGAAAAATCAGACTGTTTTGCATCTTAAAATAACACAGCTTGTAATCATTTCCTTCATAAAACGTGTTTCTGAGCAGGTGTTCCTCTGCAGCACTTGCAACAAAATGTTTTCAGGATATTAAGGCAGAAAACTGAAGAAATAAAGTGTAGACAAAGAAATAGTGAGGGACTGGTCTTAATATCTCTGGTCCTTACAAGGTTGGCCTTGCTTTTCAGAGAGCAGACTGCCCTGAAGCATGGAACAGATTTATTGTAACCTCACAGCATCTCACTGGGGTTTTTTTGCCTGGTCGCTTCAAGCTGCTGGGGTTTGGGCATCTGTCTCCACCTTGCACTGAATTCCTGAGGTCACCCTGTCCGGAGAGCAGAGTGGAACAAGGGTTTTCATGTTGTTTCACAAGATAAATGGTTCGAGATGAGATGACCAGGAGCTTGCACGGATAGGGAATAGGATGTTTTCTGTTGTGCCAAACTATTCGCGTGGTGTTTTTGGCAACAGCAGATGTGATTTCTGTCCCCTGCCACTTGCAGGTGCTTGAAGAGGTGCTCCATAACCTGGAGCAAGATGGCACCATGAGCATAGAGGACTTCTTCTACGGCTTGTTTAAAAATGGAAAGTCACTGACACCCTCAGCGTCCACTCCGTACAGACAGCTGAAAAGACACCTCTCCATGCAGGTGAGAAATCCAGGTGGATCTGGGGGTAAAAGCGGGAGGAAGGGGAGAAGTGCTGGGCAAATTCCACCTTGCCTGTCTCCTCTTCTTCCTCCCTGTTTGTCCCTGTGGTGGGCAGCCGTGGAGGTGGTGGCCAGGCAGCAGAGCCAGGGATGCTCTCCACCCCACGTGAGAGTGATGGGCTGAAGATGCTGGAGACTGTGGGCATGCAGTGGGCATGCACAGTTCTTCATGGAATCAGGGAAGGGTTTGGGTTGGAAGGGACCTTAAAGATCACCCAGTTCTACCACCCAGCCCTGGGCAGGGACACCTCCCACCAGACCAGGTTGCTCCAAGCCCCCTCCAACCTGGCCTTGAACCCCTCCAGGGATGGGGCAGCCACAGCTTCTCTGGGCAACCTGGGCCAGGCTCTCACCACCCTCACAGTCAACAATTTCTTCCTGAAATCTCATCTCAATCTCCCCTCTTTCAGTTTGAAGCTATTACCCCTTTTCTTATCACTAAATACACTTGTAAAAAGTTCCTCTAATTTTTCTTATCATCTTCTCGAATTTTTTTTTTCTTTTTTTGAGAGAGAGTTTGAAATCTACTCCCTACCTTTGCCTGGAAACCGAGGGCTGTAGCAAATGAACCTGTGCGTATGCTCCCTCCAGGCTTTTTAGGGGAGGTGATGCTTGAAACCAGTAACAGACAGTGGAAAACACTTCTGGAGCACTGAGGACAGCTCTGAAACTGTTTTTCCTCGGATTTATTTTCCATCCAAAGCGCCTGGTGGTGCCGCGAGGTCAGCAGCGGCGCTCCCGCCGGGTATTTGCTTGGCAGTGAGGAAAAGCAGACCTTAATCCTTAATCTCCAGAGCCACTGTTAGAGAAATTACATTTTATAAGCCTTTCCCGTGGCGGGGCGGCCAGATGCCTGGCTCTGCCCCTGCCCCATCACACATTCTCCCCGCAGTCCTTCGACGAGAGCGGGAGGCGCACCACCACCCCCTCGGCCATGCCCAGCACCATCGGCTTCTGCCTCTTCTCCAGCCTGGACGACGGGATGGGCTACGGCTGCGTGGAGGGTGTCCTCGACTGCTGGCACCAGGAGGGCGTTGAGAACAGCCAGGAGATCCTGAAGGTAACCAGCCTCTCACCCCTTTTATTTGCTTTATTGTTTTATTTCCCCAGTATTGGGTGCTGCACTGTTGCTGAATTGTTTTCCCTCCCACCTTTAAACATCCCAGTGCCAGTGATGGGAAACTTCTGATAATTTCCTTTATTGGAATGATGGTGCATCCCAGAGAGCCAGAAGTTAATGATAAAAAATACAATGTGACTTCCAGCGTGGCTCGAAGAGGTCACCTATATTTGTAGAAAGCAATTTAGCTCCTCTACCTCGCTGAATAGCTGCACCTGCAAACCCTTTAGCACTGGGGTGACCTGAATTATTGCTGGGGCCCAGGCAGAGGACAGCACTTCAGACCGTGCCTTGTAATTAGGGTTTTATTAGACAGAGTAAAAGGGTAATGGGAGTGGCAAATGAGATACCTGAAGTAAACCCCATCCCTCTCCGTCTCGCTGGGAGCTGTGGACGGGAGAAGACAATTTCACCTGCATTCTGAGAGCTGGGTTCCCGGCAGTGATGAGGGCAGATTTCTCTTGGCTTTTAATTTGGCCATTTAATTGTGGATTCAGAGTTAGGCTGAAGGAAATGACGAGCATTTGCTGATAATAACTTCCAAAGAAGTGGGATCCTTGCTACCAAACAAGGTTCCTTCTGTGTTGTCTCTGTTGCAAGAGCTGGTTTTGTTTGACATGAACATCTTCAACCACTTTCTCGCAGCATTTGAATATGTAAAAAGGCTGGTCCCGTAGAGAATTAATACTTTTAATCAGGCAGGGGCTTAATTTCCTGTTGGTCTTGCAGCACAACCAGGACATTTTCCATCTCCACAGCTGGCAGCAGCTCTTCAACGTAGGAAGGTGGCAGAGATGTCTGGTTTATTGCCCCAAAGGCATTTGTGACAGATTAATCAGCAAGCAAAGAGCTCTTCTGAGCCTCCTTGTTTCCTTCTGTCACTTCATGTAGAAATGTCTCTGGGTTCCTGCAGGGCAGGAAAGCTCCTTCCGCTCTGACGCCGCGGTGTTTTGCAGGCTTTGGATTTCAGCTTGGATGGGAAGGTGAACCTGACAGAGCTGACGCTGGCACTAGAAAACGAGCTCTTAATAACCAAAAATGGAGTCCACCAGGCAGCCCTGGCAAGCTTCAAAATGGAGATCCGACACTTGCTGTAAGTCACCAGGACCCCTGGCTCTGCCCCTTCCTCCCTCTCCATTCTGCCAAGCAGGAGCTTCCAGTCCCTCAGGGGGCTCCAGGAGAGATGGGGAGGGACTCTGGATCAGGGAGGGGAGCCATAGGATGAGGGGGAAGGGTTTGACACTGAAAGAGGGGAGATGGAGAGGAGATCTGGGGAAGAACCTCTTTGCATGAGGGTGGTGAGAGCCTGGCCCAGGTTGGCCAGAGAAGCTGTGGCTGCCCCATCCCTGGAGGGGTTCAAGGCCAGGTTGGAGGGGGCTTGGAGCAACCTGGTCTGGTGGGAGGTGTCCCTGCCCAGGGACAGAGGGTTGGAAGGAGATGATCTTTAAGGTCCCTTCCAACCCAAACCATTCTTTGATTAAGTAGCAGCTGATTGATGGTGGTTCATAGCGCTTCTCCAAGGGGTTTTGGTGCGGTGCTGCCATTTTGCTAGAAGGTTAGGTTCTCCATTAGCTTGACCCGAAACTTTCAACTCCGTCATTTTGCATGTGTAAAACACTCAAACCCAAGTAAGTAGCAGCTGATTGATGGTGGTTCATAGCGCTTCTCCAAGGGGTTTTGGTGCGGTGCTGCCATTTTGCTAGAAGGTTAGGTTCTCCATTAGCTTGACCCGAAACTTTCAACTCCGTCATTTTGCATGTGTAAAACACTCAAACCCAAGTATTGCAGAAAAATATACTTTAAAAAAAAGTATCAAAGAGGCAGGCTGTTTCCAGCCCCACTCTGTGGTCTAGAAATGGTCACTGTGATCTGCAGTGGGCACTCATGGCCAAGGAATGCAAAACTTAAGACAGAAGCTGGTGCAGTTTGGTGAGCAGAGCCTTTTATCCGAACTCATTTCTTGCAGTAGCATTAGGTAGGCTTTGCCGTGTGGTGGGGATGTGGGTGAGATACCAAACCACCGTGCACCCCCAACTTTTTTTCATTTGAAAGTGAACATAGTTTGACTTTGCGCTGGACTTGCCGTGTGAACTCTGTTGAGAGAGTGTGGGAGATGGGATACATCTCCCTGTATGTATATTTATTAATTTATAAACATGTGCTACCGAAGCTCAAATAATTCTTCCCACACACCAATGGATCATCTTGTCCACCCCACCCCAGAGACCTTTGTTCCAAGCACTGCACCCTCAGTTTTGCCTTGGCTTGTTCCTGTTGGGTAACTGTTGCATCCCTCTGCCATGAGCACAAATTCCAGTTGTTAGCGATGTTTGGTTTGTACCTTAAATCTTTGAATTAAATAGTTAAATATTCATAAGCTTCTGCATCCACCTCCACGCAATATCACAGGGGACTTCTGGTGGCCATTAAGGCTGCACTTGTCCTGTTACCTACTTGTGTGGCTACAGATGAGGCTTCCCATGGTGTGTGTCTACGTGTCTAAAACCCTTTTTACATCCACTCAGTGGAAAGATTTGTTATTAAGTTCCCATCGAGGAAGCTGCTCGATGTAACAGATCTTAATGGATTGGACATAGTGTAAGGATGAAGGGGTAAAGGTAATAAAATACTGAGAGCAAGTAAATGGGGAAGAAAGTGGCAAAATGGCCCAGTGCTGCAATTTAGGGGGCTAGAGGGTAGATCACAGCTGAGGAGTTGATGTGTTGAGGTCTCAGGACCTACAGGGGTATCAAGATGTGTCCCGAGCTATGTGTGCAAGTTCATATCTAGTGACTAAAGGCAGTTAATAAGAACCTTGGAGAGCTTTCTGAGCTGTTTCTTCTGTCATGAGCGAGCTGGGTGACCTAACTTGGGTGGCTGTCCTTACCCTAGGGAGAGGGTTGACCAGGTGGCCAGAGAGAGGGAGAAGCTGCGATCAGACTTGGAAAAAGCTGAGAAGCTGAAATCCCTCATGGCCTCGGAAGTGGACGACCACCACGCTGCCATTGAGCGCCGGAATGAGTACAACCTCAGGTAGGGTGTCGCTCTTCGGCATGGGTGCCACAGCGTTGCGGGGACTCGGTGATGGAGGTGGTGGCTTTGTGCTGGCCGATGGTCACCCAGCTTCACTCGCAGCCGTGCCTGCTGCCTGCTTCTCCTCACGAGCTCTCCTTACCTCCAATGCCTTCGTAGGAAGCTGGATGAAGAGTACAAGGAACGAATCACAGCCCTGAAGAATGAGCTCCGGAGAGAGCGGGAGCAAATCCTGCAGCAGGCGAACAAACAGAGGCTGGAGCTGGAGCAGGAGATAGAAAAGCTGAAAACTGATGAGAACTACATGCGGGACCGCCTGGCCCTCTCCCTGAAGGTAACGAGGACTCGATGCAGCCGGTGTTTCCCTCCCCAAAAAGTCAAGGATGGCCAGAAATTGGGGGCAAGGCTGGCAATATGGTCCTTGTTGAGGGGATGTGTCACAGTGCGTGTGGAGCTGCCCAAAAGTAATTTCAGCAGCAAGACAGAGGCATATCCATGAGAAATCATTTTTTGGGTCACCTCAGTAGGTTCCTCCTTGGATCTGCAAGGCTCCAGTCCAAATCTCTGCTGCCATCAAGTGCAGGGTTTGCGTGTGTACGGCTATCGGATGGGCTGGCTGCCCTGCTGGGAGTTGGGCTGTCCAGCCAGGGGATAATATGTCTTCACAAAGTTTTAAAATATTGCTTTATAACCAACCAATCAAAAAAAAAACCACCCTCTAAAGCAATCTTGCTGTTATGCTTTTTGATAATTTATCTGCTGCCTAATGCACTGGTACCACTCAACTGTGACAGCACAGATCCACATCCTTTTCCTAGATTTTTTTGTTTTAAAGTCTTAAGTCACGACTCTTCTTATCTGACCACTGCCTTACCATGTCACTAATTCTTGCTCAGTTTAAAAAAAAAAAAAAATTAAAAAATGGTAGTGATGTCTTACAGTAGACATCAGAAGTGCTGATGGTCAGAGGGAGCCAACACACCCTTGCAGTTGTTCAGGCCAGCAGCTTTTGAAGGGGGTGGCTGTCCTGGGAGCATCAGGAAAACTGTAAAATAAAATTGTTAAATACTCCTGAAGCAAGAAGGTGAGAGGAACAGAGGCATGCAGGGTTTGAGCCAGCTGTGGGTCCCACGTTCACACTCGTTTTGCTGTGACAAGAAGAGTTGTGTGTGTGTGTGGATCCAAAATTCCTGTCTTCGCCTGAAGCTTGTAACAGGGTCGTGCCCTGACTTGACTGGGAGATTAGTCTTTTCTAATGAGTTACCACGTGTCAATGTTTTCCTTCTCCAAATGCTGAGGCTGTTGGTTTGGGGGGGTTTGTTTGGTCCAGGAAAACAGCCGCCTGGAAAGCGAGCTATTGGAAACGGGAGAAAAACTGGCCGAGTACGAAAGTTTGGCAAGCAAACTGCAGAGGAACTTGGAGAACGTCCTGGCTGAGAAGGTAAATATTCCTTTTCCCAGTATGCTTCCAGAATTAAATTGCTTTTCAGTTACTTCACTTGAGTTGCCAGTTTAAGTATTAACTGGAGGCTCCTGGGGCCCTTACCCAGATGGGGTCAAGCCTACCTTGTTGACATGAACTGCCTGCCTGACTTCCAGTGAAGGAAATTAAAGATTCTCCAACTTAGCTTTAGTTTTATACTAACTAACAGTGGGGAGCCTTACAGTGAAATGACCATCCCGCAGACCTGCAGGGAATATTATTTTTTTTCCCCAGCACATAGTTTTGGGTAGACGCAAGATGCTGATCGTTTCTAGGGCAGATGACACACAAGGTGTTGAGTGTTGCCTGAGGTCTCTGCTGAACTTAGGTGAACACTGAGGTGAACAGCTGATGGTGGTTGAGTTACAATCATGGAATCATAGAATGGTTTGAGTTGGAAGGGACCTTAAAGATCATCCAGTGCCACCCCCCTGCCCTGGGCAGGGACACTTCCCACCAGACCAGGTGGCTCCAAGCCCTGTCCAGCCTGGCCTTGAACCCCTCCAGGGATGGGACAGCCACAGCTTCTCTGGGCAACAATAAACTCATCAGAACATCAGCTTCTCCAAAGGCTTTTCAGTATGTGCCCTTCTACAGACAAAGGCCCATAGACTGGAATTCTCACCCAGCATCTGTTTTCCAGACTTCTTTAAAGTTGGGATCGTTTATCAGACCGAGATGTGCTTTTGCTAAACTACAAAGCTGTGGTCTGAAATCCAAGTCAGGACAAGAGCTATGGTGAGACAGCAGCTAGTGTTTGTTAGGGAGGTTGTTGATTGTCCCCTAAAACAAAGCTTCTGTATTGGAAATAAATAAAACCAGAGGGCCCAGGCTGCAGGATGGCCCCCGGGTGTGATGAGCTGGGCTGTTTGGTGGAAGAATTAACTGGATCCTGTTGGTGCCGTTTCAGTTTGGTGACCTGGATCCTGGCAGCGCGGAGTTTTTCCTGCAGGAGGAACGGCTGGGGCAGATGAGAAGCGAGTACGAGCGACAGTGCAGGGTAAGTGGAGCCTAGGGCTGGGGACCCAGCACCCCAGAACACCCTCCCTGTGAGCAGCAGCCCAGAGAAGCACTATAATGCTGTGGAATTCCCTGTGTCATGGTTTTTCTACATTTAATCCAAGTTCTTGGTGGGGTGGAAGCTGTTGCCACAACTGGCCAAGTGAAGAAGATGAGGTGCCACAAGGGTAGGGCCTATGGAGCATCCTTCATCCCCCAGCTGTCCATCAGGCTCAACTCCTTACGCAGTTGTGCACTAGGGGGTTTTTGATTTATGAAATAAACTTTGCCCTGATTTGAAGTCAGAGTCGCAGGAGCTACCGGCAGAAATAAGATATAGCTGAGTTTTGGTGGTTTCCCAACCAGTAGTAAATAAAATAAAACTTAAATAAAAACTGAAAAACTGAATAAAATAAATGAAAATAAAATAAAACTGAAAAAACTTAAAATAAAACTGAAAATCTGAAGCTTGTCTTCTCCTCCCTACAAGTATCTGATACGTGTCTATTTTCCGATGACTGCTACGGTTATGAGCATTCAGCTCGTCTGTTCTGTATGATCATTCTTGCCCAAAAAAGGACTACCTTGGCAAAAGGCTGTCTCATCTGAACCAGCACCGTAGCTCTCTTAGGAAGCTGCAGTTTAAAAGCAAAGACTTTCTAGAAATATTTGCTGAATTGGTCCTTCTTGATAATAAGGTGCTTGAATGTGCAGTTGGTGGGGTGTGGTTTTTTTAGTATTGTCCGATATGAATGGGTATTCAAGGTTCACTTTCTGAATCACTGAAATCTGCAAAAATGTGTGTTTACACATTCAAGGATTCGTTTTCCTCAATAAACAGTGTTCATTGAGCCAGGCGTGTGGCTTTTGGCACAAAAACGAGGGATATTCCGCTGGCAAGTGAGCAGAAGTGCCAGATGGTAAATGTGGTAATGAGGGTATCTCTTTCCTAATGGGATCTTTTGCTTCCGATTTTTGATTTTTTTCAAGTAGGTGGTGTTTGAGGAGGTATTTCTCGACTGTCTGAAAATCTTCCTAAGCTGCTGCTTGAAAAGGGTTGTAGGAAGGAGGAGCGAAGTGAAAGGTCCACAATACACTTTAGAGGCAGAATATATAGAGGCTCTCGGTCTGAGGAACTCTGAGTCTGCTCTTTAGTGAGAAACACCTCTGTTAATTGCAAAAGGCTGGAACCTGGAGAAGAGCATTGTTTTGCAGATAGGATGACTGGGGCATGATGGCAGGATTACTGACAAGACTTTACCCACTGTAATTCATAGAATCACAGAATGGTTCAGGTTGGAAGGGACCTTAAAGACCATCCAGTTCCAACCCCCCTGCCCTGGGCAGGGACACCTCCCACCAGACCAGGTTGCTCCAAGCCCCCTCCAACCTGGCCTTGACCCCCTCCAGGGATGGGGCAGCCACAGCTTCTCTGGGCAACCTGGGCCAGGCTCTCACCACCCTAACAGTGAAAAATTCCTTCTTAATATCTCATCTAAATCTCCCCTATTCCAGTTTGAAGCCATTACCCCTCGTCCTATGGCTCCCCTCCCTGATCCAGAGTCCCTCCCCATCTCTCCTGGAGCCCCTTGAGGGACTGGAAGGGGCTCTAAGGTCTCCCCGGAGCCTTCTCTTCTCCAGGCTGAACCCCCCCAACTCTCTCAGCCTGAATTCCCTCCTAAATGTCTCGTTGTGGGTCTGTGTTGATGTAGAGATGCTCAGCTGCCTTGGTTGCTTTCACTCAGGCTTCTGTTTCCCCCCATCTCAGGAGCTTCAGGACCAGATAGACGAGCTGCACTCGGAGCTGGAGGAGTACCGTGCCCAGGGCAAAGTGCTCAGGCCTTCCCTGAAAAACTCGCTGTCGGAAGAGTTCGACATCGATATGAAAAGTCATGGCCATATCTGTATTGAGCCCGACCAAGGTAAAGCACATCCCCTGGGTCACCAACTTCTGTACTCTGGGTATCTACGATAACATCTTGGAGGCAATTAATATAAAAGCTTTCCCAGACCTTCACAGGGAGGCTCAAAGCCCACCTGCATTTTGCTATTTAGCGTTAAGTGGGATATGGCTGCTGGACTATATTCAAAGCTGAAATTAATGTTTGCAGTTCCTTGTCTGAGTGTGTGGTGGGAGTTTGAGAGCCGCAAGTAGCTGCCTGAATGAATTCAAACTGGTGAAATAATTCTGTTGAGAATGTATCTCCCTGAACTTCCAGACTATGTATATAATTACTATTTTTTAAAGGACTCGGTTCAGAAGACTGCAACCCGTTAAATATGAGCATAGAGGCAGAAATGGCGATAGAACAAATGAAGGAGCAACACCACAGGGATCTGCATCACCTCAAGCAGGAGCTTGAAGACACAGTAAGCTCTTTCAACTTAAAAATAAAACAAACTTTCACAAGTCTTCTTTCCAGCCTCTTCATACTCTGGGCAACCTGGGCCAGGGTCTCACCACCCTCACAGGAAACAAGTTCTTCCTGAGATCCCATCTAAATTTCCCCTCTTTCAATTTAAAACCATTCCTCCTCATCCTATTGCTCCCCTCCCTGATCAAGCCCCCTTTACAGGGCTCCACCACCCTAAAAACCAACCAACCAAAAAAAAAACCCCAATACAAAGCCACCACCTTAGCCTTTTTAAAAGGAAAGGCCTCATCTGCCTCCTAATTTGAGGAAGATTTGGAAAAAGTAACGAATAAAATAAAAAAAAATTCCACTTGAAATTTGCAAAACTGACTTGAGACTTAAAAGCTGTTAGTGGCTTTTCTCTTCACAAATTCTCTTAATGGAAAAACATGGATTTCACTGGCTTCTACATAATAATCATCTTTATCCCAGTAAGAAGTTAAGCCGAGCACTTTGGTATTCTTTACAAGGGAAGTCAACCTAAGATGCTTATGTGTAAATTGAAATATTCTGGAAGATATGTGGAAATATATAACACAAGTGTTGAGAAAACATCTCTGTAGGAAATGAACCCATCCGATCTGTTTGCCTTTTTGTAGGTGAGCCATTATGAAAAGCAGTTGGATGAGACAAAAGTCCACTGTGAAAAGGAGCAAGAGGACATGAGGAAGAAGCACACCGAGGAGATGCATGTCATGGAAAAACAAATATCTGGCCTTAAAAATCAAATTGCGGAACTGCAAGGAGAGGCAGCAGTGCTCAGAGAACAGCAGGAAAGGCTCGACTGCAAATATAATGATGAGAAAAACAAATTAAAAATGGGTTTCGATGAGGAAAAAGCCCATCTCCAAGAACTACTCAGGCAGGAGCACGAAGAAGACGTTAGAGCCAGACTGGAGCAGGTAAACGAGAAGTTCAGCCAAGAACGGGAAGAACTGGTTCAAAACAGTGTCTGGGTGGAAGAAAAGATGAGAGTTTTAGTGCAGACGCTGCAGGAAGAGAAGGGGGAGCTGGAACGTGGCTTTCACGAGCAGCTGAAAAGGATGGCCGAGGTGCACGCCATGGAGAAGGAAGAACTCCAGCAAGAGCTGCTGAGGAAGCACGAGCAGGACCTGGAGGAGGAAAGGTGAGTGTCACCTCTGGCGGGGACTGGGGGGACAGTGGTGGTGTGCGCTGACCTTGATGGCTTGGCGTGGTGACCATGGTGAACCTGGTGCAGAAAGGACTCCCTGTGCTTAATTGGGGCGTGCTAATTGTACAGTGCTGTTACCCGTTCTATTCCAGAGCACCGGGCTGCTTTCCAGGGGCTTTTTCTTCTGACCTTTCTCAAGCAGATATTCCTATTGATTTTTAGCTCACCCAGAGGCAACAGTGGTGTTAAAGCATAACCAGACGTGATTAATTGGAGCTCTGCTCAGGATCCCTGTGTGTTACAAATCCCCACTTCGTACTTTTTAAGGCATTTGGGTTTTCAAAGTTCTTTTCTGAAGTAAAGGGATGGCTGGTAAATGCTGTTTTAGCCCGGATCGAGTGTCAAAAGAAACTCAAATTGTCCTGGGGTGACCGGGAGAGATGGGGGTAAGAGCATCTGCCCCCCCAAATCTGATCACAAGAATAGAAGGGCATATATTGTACATGAAACCTTTTCTTGAGGACATCTCATGAGTTATACTTTTCCAAGGCAATTAGGTTTTTATTTTTGAAGCTTCAGAAAATTGTCTCAAATTTAACTTTGGCTCTCAAAAACACCCAACAAATAGTACTTCATCTAAAACTCAGTGGAAAAAAAAAAGCAGTTTTTCAGCTTGTTTTATTCAGCCTAAAAAGCCATTTGAATCTCCTTCTGAGTTAGCCCAGAGTTTAGTAATGTATTATGTTAACCATGTTTAGGACAAAAATGGAAAGTGACTATAACAGAAGAGCATCTCATGCAGAAACTCAGTTTTCTGCCGACACACAAACCCTTGTGAATAAATATGAAGAAATGATCCAAAATCTGGAAGGACGTTACCGGCGAGAGTTGCATGAACTTGCCGAACAACGGAGAGAGGAGAAATCTCAGTGGGAGTTTGAAAAGGATGAAATTGCTCAGGAGGTTGCTGAAGCTCGGGAGCAACTGAAGGCAAGTCTTGCAAACGAGAAGGCCCTTTCTTCTGCCCTCACCCTGGAGAAAGATCTCCTGGAGAAGAACTTTAAGGAGGAAGTGAACAAGCTTGTGTGCGAGAGAGAGCAGCTTCAGAAGGAGCTGCGAGACCTGAGGAATGCTGCTGAGAAGCAAGAGAAAAAGCTGAATGATAAAATAACCCAACTCCAAAATGACCACGAGCAAGAGCTAAAGAACAAGGAAGAGCGTATCTCCATGGTGGAGGAGAACGGGAAGCTGGTGAGGCAAAAGCTGGAGAGGCTTGACAAGGAATATAAGCAAGAGAAAGAAGACCTCAATTCCAAACTTCTTGCTTTGGAGAGTTTAAACAAAGACATTTCTGTAAGAGCAGAATCAGAAAAGGCCGAGATGAGCTTGGAAATCTCAAACCTTCAAGAGAAAATACAGAAATTGCAGTGGGAGACCCGCAGTTTTTCTGCGCTGCAGAATCATTATAGGGTCCTGGAGAATGAGTACGCGAAAGCAAAGAGCAAAATCGCTTCTTTCTGTGGGGTGGTGCCTCTGGGAGATGATGCAGATGTCCTCTTAAGTCTGCAGAAGGTACACGAGCAAGCCGTGAAGGAGAACGTCAGGATGGCTGCTGAGATCCTCCGGCTGCAGCACAGGCTGGAGGCTACGGAGCGGGACCCCCTGCGACCTCCCAGTCCTGGCTGCTCCCAGTCCAGCTCAGAAGGTTCTCAGCTGCCAGGAGAAACTGAGCCCCTTTTTGAAGGGTCTCCTGGCCATTGTAAAGACGCAGATGAGGGACCAGATTCGAACGTCCTCCCGTTTTTGGAGGCTGATGCTACAGACCTGGAAGAAATGACTGAGATTGACTCAGATTGGGAGAACGCATGCGTTAAAGCAGATGGTTGTGCACTCAAGGTGCAGGCACGTCGGACACATGGAAGTCAAGCAGGGCTGGAAGCTGGTGGCCATCAGGATTGTGACACCAACCAAGAGCTGCATTCTCAGGTGCCCCTGCTGCAGAAAAAGAGAGACCTCGAGAAAGCTCTGGGGAGAGTAGTACCCGGGCCAAAAGTGCTACACAACGACATGAAACAGCAGAATATTCACCTGCTAAATCACAGAATCGCTCCCCAAAGTAAAGGGTTGGTTTCTGATGCTTTGAAGTTGCAGGTTGAGCTCGAGAAAGCTGAAGAACTGAGTGAAGCCTCTCTCCAGCTTGATCATGCTGCTGGGTCGGCAAGTGGTGACCTGAAAAGCGTAATAGCTCAGCTTTGGCAAAGGGTCGAAGAGTTAGAAGACAGATTGACGGCACAGGCTGAGCTCCTGTCACTGCAAGAGGAAATTCAGGTAGAAAACGAGGATCTGAAATCCGAAATGATGATGTTAGTTGAAAAAAACAAAGCACTAGAAGACAAGCTGAGAAGCCTTCACAGCAGACTAGAGGGAAGTAAACCTGGAGGTATTAAGCTTAGAGAGGAAAACGCACAGCTCCTCCAAAAAGTCAAAGAATTGGAAGACACCCAAGAACACGATGCTCAAGGAAACGTAGGGGGGCACAGTGAGAAGCTCAGGAAGCTGGGAGAGGATGCTCCCACCTTTACAGGTCTGCAAGAAGAGCCTTCCCAAAGCCACACCAGGGGGTCGTTGGAGAAGAGGGAGCTGCAAGAGCCCAACAGAAGGTGGAAAGTTGCCGCTACGGTTGACCCGAACGACACGTGTTTCCAGGAAGAGAGGAACACAGCGACGCACGGCTTGCAGAGCACCTGCACCGAGCTGCAGCACAAAGTTGATCTTTTGAGGTAAAGTACGCTTTTGTGGGGGAAAAAACGTGCCGACCCCACGGTAATCAAACGTGCTGCTTAGAAACTAACCTAGCGCCCCACTCCCGGCTCCCTAGCTGCGCCTGCCTGCCGTTAACCGCTGTAGCTTAGCTTTGGTTAGAAACCACTCTGCCTTGGACTCTAACGACTAGCAAGCGGGCTGATTAATCGTGGATAACGACGGCTGAAATAAAAAAAAAATAATGTGTGTGACTTAACTCCTCTCTGAGCATGGCCTGAAGTGAGTGGTGAAACAGGAGCAACCAGCCGGCTGTTCTGTCTATGGATGTTGTCACCTTTCCACTGTGTAGTCTGTGGTACATCAAAAAAAAAAACCAAACCCTGTATTTTTATGTTCAAAATACTATGGTAACACTTCCAGAATGCTTTTAGCTTTTACTAATCTCATCTCTTCACTCGGTTCACTCATTTCTAGTACTGAATGTTACTTGGAATGCTGAAAGTGTTTCTGTTTTTCTCTAGGATTACCTTAAATATTGAGAATTACAGTAACTTTTTTTTCCCAGCAGGAGCCCTTAGTGTTAGGAATCCATGAGGTGTGTTGACGTGGTGCATACCATTACAACACAGAGAACATAATAGGTTACCTACTTGTTTTTAACTGCTGCATTTCAGCAAGGACTTCTTTTTTTTCTTTTTTTTGGAGGTCATAAAAGTAGCTACAAGCGGCTTAATTATTGCTCAGCATCAGCTTCCTGCAGGAAATTGTTTTTTCAGGTACTACACCATGGTTAAGTTATTTCTCTCCAGTCACCTCAGGACAGAAAAGGCTGCTGTTCCCAGCATGCTGGACTCCAGAAACAGCTGGGGAAACAGCGCGCTCTCCTAGAAATCTGCATATTGTGGTGTTAAGCTGCTTAAAGTTATGTTTATTTTTAACTATAAGGACTGAAAGGTTTAGTACAACAGCAGAGACCTTTACTAGGTATCTTCAATTTTTAATTTTACAAAAACATGCACAAAAAGCCCCTTTTTTCAGTCATCTGGGAAGCACTAAACGAAACGTAAAATCCATACACAGTTCAGACATAGAACAAGTCAATTGTAGCTTTGTTTTGAAATATTACAAATAGTTTAGGCTTTTGGTAATTTTTTCTCCCTGTGGGCCTAGATGATCCACAGAAACAGTTTTCACTCGTCTGGTCTCTCTGCTGCAGATGTGAAGCCGAGAAGCTCAGAGAAGAAAACGCCATCCTGAAAAACGAAGTGACTTTATTAAATGAGGAAGGCAGCGCTTCCAGCCTGAAACTGAGGGAGCTAAATGGATCCCGAGAAGAAATGCGGTAAGAATTCCGTGGGGGCATGTACCACCTCAGGCTCTCGCTGCAGTGAGGACACGATGGTTACATCCCTTCTCTCGAGGCTCCTCCATGCGTTAGATATTCCACAAAACTCAACATAGGCTTGTTTTGTGGTGCCATGAGAAATCCAGCTGGTTGACAAATCTGTTCCTCGTCCTTTTTTACCTGCCCCAGCTTGTTCTAAAGCCAAAGCAGGGGCGTGACTGTAGGTGTTCAGATGGACCCAGTAACACGTACAAACACAGGACCGACTTAGGAGCTGACCTGGTGGCATTATTCTTGTTTCATCCCAGGTGGAGCTTGTTGGGCTGGTGTAGCCTTAAAAAAAGGCAGGAAAAGGGATGGTGTGACAGTATTTCACTGACTTGGTCATTTGCAAGTAGATAATCATCCATGATCCCAGGAGTATTCTAGAGAAGAACCACATGGGGTACTTCAAGGAACTGAGCTCTCACAAAACACACAGAACAGTGATGCTAAGCCATAAATATCCAGAATCACCATTTCAAAATGGTAAAAACCAGCCCATTCTTGTAGGTGTGTATGTTAACAAGTGACCCTCGTGTTAATGAGCTTTCATTTTTTTTTCTCTTAGGCAAAAGATAGAGGCTGTGAGAAAGGAGAAAGTGGCTGTACAGAAGATGGTTGACAACCTGAAGAAGCAGGTACACGCACTGAGCCCATAACTTTCTCTCTGGAACTCATCACTGTATAAAAACTGTTCATTAGGTGGTCACAAATGACCATTATATACATTTAAACTTTCTGATAACTGTTCTCATTAACTCTTTGGGATTGATATGGAGCGTGTTTGACCTGAGCAGAAGACAGCTGCTCCACTACTGGAATTATCTGGCTTACAGACTTGAGAGCACTTTCCATAGTCAACTCGGAAAGTTTATTTAATAGAAATATAAAGTTTAAAAAAAAAATAAATCTCTTTTGTAATCTTTGTGGGTAATGCTCTGCAGTAGCCCATGGGAAACAGAGGTTATGTGACTCAGCCTCTACTTATTTCCCAGCTTGCTGGGTCTAGGAATGCTGCCAGCTGTGACCCTTTGCTCGTATCCCTGAGACTGCTACTTTTATTTTAAGGGTGGTTTGTTATGCTAGGAAAAGTAGAAGGTTTAAGTAGCTCTTGCATTCATATCCCTCTTAGTATTGCTTAGTAAAATCCTACCTGCTCGGAATAATCTAGCAGCTCACCAGCATAACCCTCAAAATATTCATCAGCGTGGCAAAGGGAAGGAGGAACAGTGGTGTGCCAGGTGCCTAATATCATAACTGATATAATTGAGGCCAATTATGAGGAAATTACCAGTTTGGGCAGGCATGCAGCACGCCACCAGGAGGATTCTGAAATATGGTTCTACTTGATTTGATCTAAAATCAGGGTGTGGAGCAAGTTAAATAGGTGTAGGAAAATAAAGCAAGCAGTGCTACTGGGGTCAAGACTGTTCTATAGAGTACAATTAACAGCTGTGCCCCATCATTCAGAGTCATGGCTGGAGTGATGCTTGCCAGGTTTTTTTGATCATCTTAAAAGAAAGTAAATGGTTAAAAAAATAAATCTCATTCTCAGTATAAAAGCAGTCATAATTGACATTGCTGTCCCGATTCAGGTAGCAGATCTGAAGACCCGCAATCAGCAGCTGGACTCTGAAAACACAGAACTCAGCCAGAGGAACTCCAAAAATCAAGCAGATGTGCAGGATCTGAATCAACAGCTGGCAAGGGTGCTCAAGCAAAAGGAAGGGGGAAAGTGTACCCTGGAAGAATGGGAAAAGGAGAGACTGGTTCTGAAAGAGGAACTGGAAACCTCCAAAGTAAAGGTAGGGGATGACCCTGTTTCTAACAGGATGGAACAACTGACCTTTCGGGAATGCTATGGAACTGGCATCATCTCTTTCTTGAGCTGTGCATGGTCTTTCAAAGCTGAATTTTCCTAAGTGTTAGCTGCAAACATACGTGCATGCGGTGGTGGGGGTGGAGGGAAAGCAGGCAACATGTGGTCTTTCAAAGCTGAATTTTCCTAAGTGCTAGCCACAAATGTATGTGCATGTGGGGGTGGAGGGAAAGCATGGCAGCAGCCCAAAGCAGGGAGGGAGAAGCATGCAGGTTTGTCTTGAAAACAGATGCTAAATATCTACCTGCGTCTTCCAGCATCTCTGTTCTGCTCAGTCCAGTGCCACCCCAGTTCTAACCCATGTCACTGGCTGCAGCAGCCTCTTGTTAACCTCTGTTGCCCTTCATGTTTCCTAAGCTAAAATCTGAGCCTTCTACTTTTTGCAGTCATCAAATATGGTGTCTTCCTTGGAGATGGAGCTCTCAAAAATGAAGGTTCAAGCTCATATATTGGAGCAGGAGAACCACATCCTCAAGCAGGAACTTGAGAAGACAAAACAGGTATGGCATCCTATTTGAGTGTCATCAGATAATGCTGGCTGTCTCTTAATGAGCCCTGCTCTCTTGCCCAAGTCAGAAACAGTTAATTTATTTAAAGAAAGGTCATAAGAGTAGAGGAATATAAGTTCTCTGGGAACAGTTTCCGGGTACAATGCACAGTTGTTCAAATAAGGTTGGTTTCTCTTAGCCTTTGCCAAAAGGTCTTCCAGAGTAGTGGCTCTACAAAGACAGGCTTTGACAAGGAAGACAGAATTAAAGAAGGAACAAACAGGGCTTTTCTAATTTGTGCAGATGGGTTAGGCAGGGGAATATTTCCCTGTGCAACTGGTGATACCTATAGAGCTCCATTTATGGACTGGTCTCTTCCAGCAGGTCCTCTCGGAGAGAATTCCTATTTCTGAGCCCATCTGGAGACTTCTATGTCTTTCCTATTTCTGAGCCCATCTGGAGACTTCTGTGTCTCACAAATTCTGAGGATGATTTCCTGGAGGGCTTGGTTATCGCCTGTATGAGCATGGTTCAGTTGGCTGTAAATATATGCTAATAAACATAGATAATGAAGGCCACAAATGAGTTAGCTCTCCTGATTAGGGCTTCACAAAGTAATTTTCTTTACAGCATAAAGCACTCATTTGATGTACCCAATGCTTAGGACAGATAATGGTCTTAAAAAGCAAAAGCAGATGAGGCCTATTCAGTAAAGAATGGATTGTGGCTTGAGTGTAATTAAAGACAGAAGATTGAGCAAAGAGAGAAGAGCACAGGAGAAGGCAGAGCATTAAGCTAAAGCACTGTGTCAAATGAGAAAAGGATCAGAAGTCAGCAGTAGGGTATTTTTTTTCCCCTTTCACAGAAGAGAAAGGACCAGCCCTAAAGCAAATCTCAGGGATCACAGGGTAATTAGGAATCCTTATTGCCCTGTGGTGCAGGATGGATGGATGCTCTGGGTCATATAAATGATTATTTATATGGTCATTCGTACCAAACTGGAGTGTGCTCCTCTCCTTTGTGATCTGTCTGGAGTGGGATGCTGGGTCCGGAGGAGGAGGGAAAGCCTTGTGTAACACATGCATGCAAAATTCTGGAAAGAATTGCAACTCTGAGGGGTTTGTTTTCCACAGCTGCCCAGATGCCCTGATCTCGCTGACCTCCAAAACGAAGTTTCGAGCTTAATTGCTAAAAATGAAAAGCTGCAGAAAGAAAAAGAAGCCCTGAGTGAGGAATTAAATAGATGTATCGATAAGGTAAGAAAGAACTGCAAATCCACATCACCACCTACGTGCTCTAACAGGCTGTGAAAATTCTTGTATCATTACCTGCATCACCCTAACCTGTGGAAAGCCTTGTGTAACACATGCATGCAAAATTCTGGAAAGAATTGCAACTCTGAGGGGTTTGTTTTCCACAGCTGCCCAGATGCCCTGATCTCGCTGACCTCCAAAACGAAGTTTCGAGCTTAATTGCTAAAAATGAAAAGCTGCAGAAAGAAAAAGAAGCCCTGAGTGAGGAATTAAATAGATGTATCGATAAGGTAAGAAAGAACTGCAAATCCACATCACCACCTACGTGCTCTAACAGGCTGTGAAAATTCTTGTATCATTACCTGCATCACCTTAACCTGTAAAATTACTTTGGATTTTTTTTTTTTTTTCTTACCTTCAAGCCAAATAAAGGCTTAATTGCCACTGTCTTTTTTTTTTTCCTAGCTGGTTTTAAAGAGAAAGCTGAAATTCTGGAGCACAGCTTGACTGTAATTTGATTACATAGAAAATTCCAAACATTGCAAAGAATGGGCCTGGATATAAATACTGCAGCAGGACAAGGAAGACAGTGTTCTTGGGCTTTTTATTCCAACTCTAACACATTGTAACTCCAAACTTGAGCAGTGTAACTAATATGCACGCCATAAATAATGATGCTGTTGTGTGGAGATTTGGGCTGGGAGCTGAGGGTTGGGGGTTTTTTCACTCTGCTGCATTTTCTTTGCGTCGCTGTAACTCCCTCTAGCTCGGCTCCCGAAGTCAAATTGAGTTAAAGAAAATCCTGCCTGATTGGGGCTTACCCATGTAATCTTATTGCAGGTAGCTAAAGTAAGCTGCTTAGAGAACGCACTTGGCAGCTTGAAGCAGGAACAGAAGTCCTGGGAGCAGCAGAGTCAGGCGCTGAAAGCCCAGCTCACCGTTTCACAAGAGAAGGTATAATGGAGGGGTTTGTTACAGCCCTGCATCAAAAGCATTTTTTTAAAATATCTTATAGGGCTTTTTCCCCCCCGCCACCCGAAAACCAGCCCTCTTCTAATGTGCACAAAGCTAAGAATGGCTGCTTTGATGGGCTCTCAAAGTGACGTTCATAAAGGACAAGAGGAAACTTGTTAAAAGCTATGAGAGACTATTTTTTTTTCCCCGAGAATAAGCTATTTTGTTTTGCTTCCACAGCCAAGATCCTTTTGCCAACTCATTCTGCCTGGTTATTCCTAAGATACTGCAGAGACTCTGCTGTTTCTCCCTGCTCTTCTGGCAGTGGCCCATCTCTCACAGGGCAGGAGAGGGCAATGAATGGCTATCAGCTTGGCTAATTACACTTGGGGTTTATTATTGGATATGGGCTGCCAGGAAGAATAAATAATTCAGGAGAAATCTTCTCTTCCCGGCACATCACAATAAATATTGAGGGGTGGAAGATGTGTCTTTGAATGGCTTGGACTAGATGATCTTGAAGGTCTCTTCTAACCTTAGCCAATTTTATGAATGCAGTATTGCGGCTGTGTTCCAAGTGGACGGCTGCTGATTTGGAATAGAAAGTCAGAAAAATCCTGTAGTGTTTTTAAAGGGGGCTGTCAGCATTATAACTTCTTCACTCCATGCATCAGAGATCCTAAATACATGCGATATATGAAGTTTACACGTCCCAGTGGACCAAGGTTGCAGGAAACCTTAGATGCCAAGCTGTGTTCCCTGCTTGTTACAGGTGCAGGGTCTGGATGAAACGCTGCAAAGCACCCACCTGCAGATGTCCCGGCTCAAGTCGGATCTACGGGTGACCCAACAGGAGAAGGAAACTCTGAAACAAGAAGTGATGTCTTTACACAAGCAACTGCAGAACGCCAATGAAAAGGTAACGGCCTTCAGGTGCCTCAAAACCAGCCAACTTTTGCTCGCTGGGGTTTATGGACACAGCCCTGCTCTTCTGTAGCCTCCTGCTGTAGACAATTGATTTCTTTACATCGGCTTGTCCATTAAAAGGACACAAAATGCTGTGGACTGGAGCAAGTAGACTCTGATTTACGCAACTAGCGACTTTTTTCTTTAAAACAAGTGATGTAAAGCTAATAATTAAAAAAATAATGGTGAAACAAGGGCCATAAAATCCCTATTTTAATGCTGCTTTCTGTATTTAGTAGTTTTCCATTTTAAAGTAGTTAACGCTAATTAGTCTTGGATTGTATATAATGTGATTTTTAAACTTGGAATAATTTTTTACAAATCAGTTCTGAACACGAGGACAGGCAAAGATCAATCCAGCTCCTTTTCTCCATTCTTTCCTGAAAGAAATCACAAAAAAATAATAATCTGTGGACAACATATGTATTTACACCTGTCAAACCTATAAACACAGTAACAGTCAAACTGGTAATTGACAGGGGGATCTAATTTCCAGTCAGACTTGGTTTTGAAAGCACGGTATTATATCAGGCTCTCAACTGATGAGGAGCTGTAACTGAAGGAGGTTGTAGACAGCAGTCTTGGGATTGGTATTATGAATTCAGTCACTAATTTGGCTTGTTTGCCATGTAATTAAGGAATATTTAATGTCCACATGGAAAAGAGGCTGTTTCAGAATTGTACGACAGGAACTAAATTACAGCTATTACTGAATAATATATAATACTGAGCTCTATTTGCTTGATGAGGCTGTGAAATGGAGCACAAATTGCTTTTTTTTTGTGTGTTGTTGAACTCTGTGCCCATCTATCAGCCGTTGTGGCGCACAGCTATTATCTGTGATTTCAGCAAAGGGAAGCACTGTGGGTTTGCCCCGTGATTAGCATGTTTGGGTTTCTTACTGGGAAGCAGAGCGTAGGCTGGGAGGAAGATGGGGAACCCTGCGACTTTTTTATAGAGTCTGCAGTTACCAAAAACCTACCTAAAACCCACCTGAATAGAGAAAATTGTCTGCTTCTTCGTTGAAGGCCTAACCCTGCGCTTCTGTCTGTCTTAAGAACCGGGTTCTAGCACTGGCTGTGCCTTCCTCAGGGCTGCAGGACCAACAGGGGCAACTCCACTGGGACCAACTGGAGCAGCTGATGAAACAGGAGCAGCAGCTCCTCAGGCAGGAGAACGAGAGGCTGCAGAGAGAGGTCCAGAGCAGTAAAACAGACCTGACGCACTCCAGGGAGAAGGTAACCTTGACCCATCAGAGGCTACTCAAGGATTTGTGTTTTACGGTGGTGAATACAGGAGAGGGATGTTGCTCATTATTTTTGAATAGAGACATTTGCATAAAGAATGGATAATGAATAGTTTTCCTCTATATCTGCACTAAGCAGCCACTTTCCAAACAACTTTTTTTTATAAAAAAGGAAATTCCTGATAACTCTTGTCTAAGATTCTGGGTGTAACTTCCAGTTAACACCCTTCAATTATTTTTTTTTTTCCTTCATAAAAAATTCTTAATATTCTGAGCATTCCTCACGTCCAACTTCTTGGCTCACAGTATGAGGCAGATTATGGGGAAGAGGAAGGGAAAGACCTTTTGTTCCTCAAAGCTAAAATGTCAAAAATACACCAGAATCTGCTAGAAGTCCAAAATGGATTGGCATTTGGTATTTTAGACTAAGTAGGTGAAATTTTATTATTATTTTTGAATGGCCTGGATTGTTTTTCCACATTTGTTCATCTCTGATCTCTTTAGATCAGACAGCTGGAATCTACTATCCTCTCCCTAAAGCACCAAAAGCATCAAAGCCAGTCGGGTATCGTCAAAGCCATAGAGCAAGAGAAATTAAGCCTGAAGAGAGAGTGCGAACAGCTTCAGAAGGAGCTGTCATCTGCAAACAGGAAGGTTAGTTTTAGATGGTTCAATACCTGACTTGATGCAGTACTTACCACATCAGCGACAGAAAGCTGTAATTTTCTTCTTTTACTCTGAGCTTTGCTCTTTTTGTCTCTTACGGATCCCTGTCCCACGGAGGACTTAAGTCTTTTAATCATGAATTGCTTTGATGTGCAATGATTCAAAACTTGCACATTGGGAAAACAAGAGAGAAAATAAGAAACTACTACCTTTCTAAGGAAATTTCTTGTCTTTAATAGATCAGTCAGATGAATTCTCTCGAACGCGAACTGGAAACCAGCTCGGAAAATGAAGGGCTAAGAAAAAAGCAAGTCAAACTGGATGATCAGTTAATGGAGGTACTTTTCAATAAGTGTTGGCTGTACTGAATAGTGTGGGGCTTTATCACTATCTCCCTGAATCTATGAATTTGTTTAAAAACAAATTCTGGAACATGTATAGGAACAGAGGAAACTAATTGGAAGTATAAGAATTAATCTCCCCTAATGCCTAATCTCATCTTTCATGCTCAAGATGTTTGTGTGATAAATATGTTTCTCTGAAGCATATTGTGGTTTATCGTAAGGCTTCAGATATAAAATCAAACAGTGAAGAAATTTGTTTCTGTCCTCGAGGCAAGGCTAACACTTTCCTCTTCCTTCCTAAAACATGTAGCCTCAAGTCTTTTAACTAATATCTGTGTAACACTGTTCTTAATGTAGAAACCTGTTCTTATTTACCATGGAAATAATTTGCTGAATTTAAGCTTTGTATCTTATCTAGATCATGATAGATTAACAATTTACACAACTTGCTGTTAATGGAGTGAAAACTTCACTTGAGATTCTTCCAAAGCCTGCTGGAAATGTGGGTGTTTGTTTGCTGGAGATAGATCATGCTGGATGTTATGAAAAGTGTATAATTCTTAGGGGTCCTTGCTAACGGGGATTAATTATGTTAAGTTAGTGTATCCCTCAAGGTCAGGCCAGACCTCAGAGTTGTTTCTCAAGAGTCTGGCCTAAACCTGATGTCCTGAATTTGAGTTTAAAACATAATATATATAAAAAAATACAATCACCGCAATTTTGACTTGTTCCATAAATCAAAGAGTCTCTAGATGAGGCTTTTCCAATGCTCTTTATTAAAAGACTTCATGTTTTTCATCAAGTAAGCAAATGGGAAACATGTTATGCTGAACAGACTACATAACTAGCTGTAAACTTGTAATAACTTGAGTACAAACTATGAGATTTTGACAAGTTACTGAAAAGACTGTTTATATGCCCTGTGCTTTTAATTAATCTTAGTTAAGCTTTGGAAAAATTCCAAACGCTCTGAAACCCTTTAGTATAAACACCGAGCACGGAATTGCCTTTTGTCTTAAAAATTTGTATTTCAAACATGCAGGACTTTTGTTACTCCTGATACCATTTTCCCAGCAGGTGTGTACAGCATTCCCTTAGCCCTGTGTGACTTCTAACTTTCTCTTTTGTGCCTGTTCTCCTTTTTGTCCGTGGCTAACCTGGCTAGAACTCAGTGGTTGGAACTAGCAGAGAAGGGTGCAGTTCTCTTTCTGAAATAGTGTGCGAAGGTAGAGCAATCGTTTTCAATGTACTACCACAGCATGGAGAAAACATTTCTTTCTTTTAATGGTTTTAATTTATTTTATTCCATGCATCCTTTAAGTAAAGAAGCCACTATTCATTTTAATGTAACATTTTTACGTAAACTGCGCTAACTATATCACGCAATTTGATTCTGTAGGCCAAGAAGTTTTATACTTCTAAGGCGTTGCCACGAAAATGGACAGTACTAACCAATTGCATTCAAAAAAAATTAAATCAATCGTAAGAAAATGAAAAGTGGCTCAACTCCTTCCTTCTAACCCATTGACTGTGAGGCTTGTTTTCGTATTTACCTCTGATATCTGCATGCTTTTCCTCAAAAGTTGCTTTGATATTAACCAATCCGTGCTCACACTCAGTGTCATCCCTAATAGTTTAGCCAAATTCATTATTGTGAGACTATTACAGTGAGACTATATTGTTTTCATTAGCCACACAATTGGTACTGACTTTTAAGATGCCGTTAACATTAATTGACTGTTTCTCCAACTCTTTCATTAGATACTCGTGTGCTTCATAACATTACAGGAAAACCCTAAATAAATTCCATCAAAAGCTCATTATTTTCACTGTTTATATTGCCAGTAAAAGAGTAACTCCTTTACAGGCAAGTTGATTCAAGAGAGCCTCCAGATAGCTTAACAAAATACAAATAGTTTTATTTTAAAATACTTGCAAACCTATTTTCTGTTCACCTGGGACAGCAGAGACATACAGATTCTAACATGCCCAGAAGAGCTGAGGCATTATGAAAAATTCTTATAGTTGTTCACATTCTAGATGAACCCAATAACTGAAATACGATTAGGAATTGAGGCTTTAATTCTGCCACTTGTGAAAGGAAAATTAAAACCACTGACATAATCTGATACACCTTTTCTGAAGGGAACAGAGTAATGGTTTTGAGATAACAGGTGATAATTCTGATATAGTCAACTGATTTTTATGGGAAGAAAGTATTAATCTTATGCAAATTCAAGCTGCAAATCTGCTTGTCTGAAACATCAGGGGTTTTCACTGTACAGTTCTGGTCTATTTTAGTAGTATAAACCTTTTCAATTGAGAGAGTCTTACCTAGATTTTACTTTAGTCTAGAAAAACGCTAAATAGTTTTTAATTTTAGTTTTTAATATTGTACAAAAGTTCATCTAATGCTGGGCTGGTTTATCTAACTTGGGCTCTCGTGGCTGCAATGCTGCTGTAGTAAGATAGTGCCAGAAATGCCTCTTTTCCTGCCACCTTCATCCAGTAACTGCCACCGTATTGTTCGGGAGCAGCACTTAATTAATTGACCTGGGGAAGCTAAACCATTTGGGACAAGTCTGTTCTGAGCCTCTCTTCTTGCTGCAGCAAGGACTATTAGCAATGTGATCCTTTTATCCCACGTGAGACCCCCAGTTTTACCAATTAAAAGACTTCTCTAGTAGGATAACTTCACAAAGGACTAGTATGCACGAACTCTTTGTTGATATATATTACCTTTTGATATATATTACCTTTTTTTTAGCAAAAGCAAGCCTTGAATTTGGAATTAAACTACTTCAAATTACTACACATCTGTATCTCGAGGGCCCCACTGAAGTCACTTTTGCTTATGCAGCACAGACACTCGGGAGGTCTCCAGACTTTCCATCAAACTCTGCTTGTGGCCTGCCTCAAAATGAAAATTATAAAACACATTAAAACTTCTACAGTTAGTAGTGAACATAAGGAAAGATATATGGGATTCTAAATACTGAATTCTGAATATAATATAACAGCTGGCATCCAGTTACTTAAGTCATCCTACATTACATTGAACATTTGTTTTGCTTTTGAGGATGTTATCTCTCCATCCTAGATTAAAGGCTAGAAATAATCACTGCTGGACAACTTCTTCAACCCTCCCCGTGCAGGTGCTTTTATTTGTAAGCGGATATTACTTTTAGAAGAGCTGCTGAGATCAAGGTTAAAATTAAAAAGGACTAAATTAAAGCTCACCACAGGCCCATTTAACTTTGGGATTTCATCAGAAATTCAGTGAACTTATAATTCAGGTATCTCACCACAGGCCCATTTAACTTTGGGATTTCATCAAAAATTCAGTACTTATATGTATATAGTTATAATTCAGGTACGAGCTTTTAAATCAAAGCTCAGATCCTTTTAGTCTTCAGATCTGCACATAAAGATGCATCTTTTTTGATTGGAAAGAGAAAGGTTTAGCTTCTGTTACCAAGTTCAGGCTTGTTTCTCTTGCGTACGCGGAGTTGTTCGACTAACCTGATGTGTGGTGCATCACTAAAAGATGAGTTGTGTGAAGGGCAGTGCTACTTTCTCTCCATGACTGATGTTACTGTGCTCTGTAGATGCTCCACTCGAGCGGCAGCGTGATGCTTAGCCCGTCCCCGCACGCCCGGGAGCTCCAGCAGCAAGGCTGTGCCATGGTGCCCAAGGAACAGTTCCTGCAGCTCCAACACCAGCTACTACAGGCGGAGAGGAGGAGTCAACGTCTTCAGGAAGAGCTTGAAAGCAGACCCTCTGAAACAAACATGCAACAGGTAAAGCTCTCCTTACTCCGCAGGTTACAACTTTAAAAGCCTATCTGGTTAGTTTTCTTGGTGTGTTTTTGGTTTGTTTTTTTTTTTTCAATTCTGATGAGATCCATTCTCTGTTTATGCCAGTTCAAAAATTAAAATTAAAATTCAACCTATCACGGATACATACAAAACAAACCTTTGGCTATTTAGTATATTTAGCTTGAGCCAGAGCTTAATTCTGAAGCCGTCCTAATCTTTTTGGAATTAAAAAACCACTCCTATCCACATCCAACTGGCTTTTTTCCTTCTGGTCAATGTGCAATAAGTGTTTATAGGTTTTGTGTTGTTTTCTTCACCTAATATACATGTCTGGAACCACTGTTCTTTTAAATATACACCACATATTGCACAAGCACATACCCATCACACATAAAATACTAGTTTGGGCTGTAGCTGTCACACAGAGTTCTGTCAGCTGTAGTATAGCAGAATACAAACAAATTAATCCTTTTTATAAGGTCAGCCTATCTTCATTTTTTGGCTGTAAGATGAGAAATTGTTTGGAGAACACTGCTACCATTATACAGAAACTTCAACAATGGCATTCCTATGGAAAAACAATCTAATTCCAAGGAAGATTACATCCACGGCACATACTGGGCAGAGATGTACTTAGTGCTTTGGTTTTTTAAACATATAAAACTGAATTATAGGCAATAGGTAGGAAAGTTGACATTTCCCATATATAACTAAGCTTGGGGACTAAGTTTGCCAAATTACTCTTTTCTTCAAAAATAACAATCTCTAAAGCTTTGGCTCGGGCCATAGGTCTTTATCTGATGAGAAAAGATAAAGCTCTAAATAACTTGGATAAAATTCTAACACTTTTATTAATCTGTTAGCAGAAAAAAAAACCCCAACTTTACATTTTAAACTCAGATTGAAGTTACACTTAAAAAAACAAAAGCAAACAAACAAAAAACCACTGTAAGACCAAGACTTAGAAGCTCAAAAATATTTCAGTGTGTTAATAGGATATTCTGGGGGAAAAAGGTATTATGGAAAGAGGGTATATGCAGTAAGAGTTTCTAAAGTTTCCAAAACTTGGAATAAGAATTCTTTTTTAAGAAAGGCATAAAATTTAGAAGTTCCTCCCAAAAACGAATTTAACAGCAAATAATATAGGATAAGTAAAAATAAATCAATTGTAAGGTGCTCTCCCTTTCAGCTGAGGCCTGAGAGAAGTGCATTACCGCAGGCTAATGGACTTGGGCACATGAAATGGAAAGCAGAGCGTGCAGTTTAATTTTGAAATCAATAAAAGCCCTATTACTGCAGCAGCACCTGCAAATGAATGTGCTCTGTATTGCATTAGGAGTGATGACTTTGGAATTTTTGCCTTTGAAAGCCTGAGAAACAATTTGCAAACTAGTCACATCCTGGAACTCGTAGTTCTACAGATAAATCACTGCTGCGTTTCCTGTAAAAGCTTTTATTCTGGAAGGCTTCATGAATTTAAAAATACTTTCAGAGAGGCTTTGCAAATATTTTCTGTCAATGCACTAATGCACTTAAAGCTTTTAATTTTTTTCTATTGTTGGTTTCTTGGAGTTTTTTGCTTAAAGCAAATGGATATTCCAGTTTATAACACCTCCTACAGCTTTTTTCATGGGCATTACTACATAACTTCCTAAAATCATTATTAAACACATGCATTCTGCAACTATAAATGAGGCCAGATTCATTCTAGCTTGTCTCAACTTTGACATTTCTGTAAGCACATCTTGCTTTTAATTCTCCCTGTTGATTTTTCTTCACCGTCCTGACTTTTAGACTTAACATTTAGTTGAGCTTATGTCCATTTTAATGTCCCCTTTAGCATCTTGAAAAATTGCATCCTAGTCCCTCTTCATCGTCTTTTCACCAGTGAGTACAATGGCAGGTTATCTCCATGCTTTCTGTGTAAATTTAATCACCTAGTTTTGCTGCTGCTTTGCACTTTGCAGCTTTCTTAGATCCCGAGTCCTTCTGTGTAATAAGGTACCCAAAGTTATCCCCCTCCTTTTTGGAATATTTTTTTTTTTAGTGTTCATTATGCTTTGCAATTTTCATTGCTTTTTGATCGTTGCTATGGTGGTCTGTGTTCTCATTCATTTTACAGTCAGTCTTGAGTGATTTGCCCTCCAAAGGCTGTTGTCAGACATTCAAATTTCACTAAATTAAAATTCCTGAGCTTTGTTCTTTTTCACTGTGTTAACCTGCCTGGACTCTTCTCAATTCCAAATGACTGTTTCTGCTGTGTTTAGTGCTGTGATTCTTACCTACTGCACAGCTTGTTCTCATATTCCTTGCTCAGTAACTAGATTTGGGAGCCTGTTAATGACCCAGTTTTTAACTAAGTTTGCTTAGAACCTCTGCTAATGAGTATTTTTGTCCAGAATACTTCCAGTTGCCCAACTTCCCCTTTCTTCAGCTCTTGAGTTGAAAATTCAAATCACCTCTGACCAACAGCTTGCTCACCTGTCTCAGGAAAAGCCTTACAACTAGGTTTAAAATATAAACACAAATAAGTTCTTTCAAAGGAGGTCAGTTGGACTGTATTTTTCACAAATTTCACAAATATATATAGTGGCAGATAATTTCCTCTAAGAAACTTAACTGCTCTACTAATTGCAGTTAATGGCAGCCACTGATCTTTTTAAATCCCTCCAAAAACATGGGTGAGCCCTCCGAAGAGTCCTTGCATCTATAAAATAAATCCTGAATTTATTTTGCATACGTGTGGTGCTAACCTTAGTAGTTAGATAAAGACAAGATGTGATACTCTGCATGTTTTCTTTCGTGTGTGTGTGATTTTTTTTTTTTTTGTCTTGCCTTGCTTGCTTCGCTTGTGTTGGTGCTTTACTTGAAGTATATGTACGTATTTAAAGGAAAAATCTCTGGATATCAGGGTGAAGTATTCCCACTTGCCTTCTTTCTCTAGGCCTTGCTACCGGAGCAGCGAGCAGTGCATGCAGATTCCTACCGGAGGATCGGGCACCTCTGACAGCTTGGCTGCTTACGATCTCATTCCTTACCATGATAAACACACACAAACACACGAACTGGCATAAGCTGAGAAACTTGAGGATCCAAATTATTATTATTATTATTATTTTGTGCTTTTTTCTAAAAAAAAAAAAGGTCTCCACAGTGTTATTTCTTATTTATTTGTCTAGAAGCTATTTTGTGAAAGTTCAGAAGCTGTCTTCTTTTAATTTGTTACAAATACTTTTTATTTATGTTATTTAAAATGTGGAGTTGTTCAATGTGGAAAGAGCCTATTTTTCTCAAATGGTACTAATTTTATATGAGATTTGATGAAAATCTGGGGTATTTATACTGCATTTTTGTATAAGATGTATAAACTTTTTAACAGGGAAAGATGACATTTTTGATGTAAATGAAAAATAAACATTTTTTTTTAACCATAATGTCTCTTGTCTTAATAGTATCAATAGTTTATAGTTTCATAACAAAATATTTGTCTTTGATACTGTGGATTGTCAGACCAGGACTTCTGGGAAAAGATTTGACATAGAGGATGTACTTAAGTACAGATACTCAGCTTTTCTTTACTAGATGTACCTGCACATTTAAGAAAAGAGTTCGCATAGTACGTGGGCATATTCTACTGAAGAGAAAATGATTCACACACTTGTTTCTTGGATAATTTTTCTTAGGGTGGTTTGGTTTTTTTACTAGGAAAAAAAAATTGTCTGAAATTACTCGATTAAACTAGATTTTTAACACTTTAAGAAGTCAGCAAAACATCTCTTTAAGGCCTATGATTTTTCAGCTGTTTGCTTTCAAAGACCTTTTTGTTCCTATCTTTCTAAAGTTAATGCTTGAGCTGGATTCTCCTATTAGACATGAGATTATTTGAAGTTAAAACGTTCTCAAATCAACTTTAAGCCAAAAACCAGGATCACAGGTATTGAGACCAGTGTAATTCTTAGTTTTCACTTAGCTACTCACACAAGGCTCCTGCAACCAGTATGAAGTGGAATAGCCAGCCATGGGCTTGAATTCCAATCAAATTACAAGAGATAGCTCACAATAATTTGGCTAGAATCTCCCCTGCAAGTTCTGCTTAGGAGTAATGTTTATTCTGGAAAAACAGCCAGTCCAGCAACACTGTAAAACTGCTTTCTATATGAGACTAATGTAACTTTTTTCAATATTTTTCACAAGCAAAGTGATCCAATAACCCTATACATAGGTGTAAGGAGTTTCTGGTGTTACAACAAATAAAATGTTGATCCCCTAAGGGGATCTTTATACAGTGGTTTAGGTGAGCAACTACCTGCCTGAAACATTCCTCCCTTGCTTTTGCATTTGTCCTCCCCCACATGCGTGAAGGTACTTTGGCTTTGAAGGTATTTTCTTTTGGGGAGAAGGTTAGTGCTTTCTCATCTTCTCAGATGACTTCCTAGAATGAGAGTAACAAACTAGAATTAAAACAAAAAATCCCTTTCCCTGCTGTCAGTGTCTTAAAGCTCCCAAATATAAACAAGCTTTATCTTGGTGTTTCTAATTTAATTAGGGAAATTTCACTTAACTGCTGGTGTAACGGGCACTCTCACAACACTGAGTTACTGTGCTCTTAGTTTGTGACCTTACTGAAGAAAAAGAGCAAAAGCATTAAAGAGTCACTATTTGGAAACATTAGTTATCAACAACTAATCTAAAAAAAATAAATGTAAAAAATCAAGTTTGGGATAATAGCATTTTACATTTTTAGGCTATTACTCACTTTCAAGGGAGCTTTGGTATGGGACACTTATACTGTCACATGTCCTTACGACTTCACCTTAATTTTCTTCTAAAATCATTAAGATTTTGATTGGTATTTTGTTTCTGATAGTCAACAGAAATATGGCAGTGCCTGGGAACCAGAAAAGGAAACTATCCAGATCTGACTATCACAGTCAAGAGAGAGCTTAGAATTTTATATCAATTTTTCTTAGATCTGGTAACTTTGATTTGGAAAACTTGTTCAATGCTGTTGCTATAACATTTTGCTTCCATGAATGGTTTAGTAATTTAGGCAACTCTTTAAAGTAGACTCTAATGTGGAGTGCCAGCTATTTTCTTAAGTGTAGACTGAAAAAAAAAAAAAGAGACTGGTGAATGTGAACTCATTTTTTATTAACTGATTTTCACATAAATGTTGCTTTCCAGGGGGGTCATGAGCAGCTTCTAAAAATGATGGAAGAACGTATGATGGATGTTGAACAGAAACTTCGACTTGTGAAAAGGCTTCTCCAAGATAAAGTAAATCAGCTGAAAGAACAAGTAAGTGTTCTTCCTTTTTTTCTCAAAACCTCCCCATTATTTCTGTAAACATCTAAGTCGACAAAAGCTGCCAAGCTGCTCTTGTTTAGAAGAAAGTTAAAGGTGTTTTCCTTTTTCTTTCAATGCTCCTGAGCTAAAGCGCAGCGTATTTGCCCCAAAACTTCCTAAAACTCCAAATTTCGGACTGTATCCACCACTCGTTAATTTCCTAAAGGCTGTGCTAGTTTGGTATGCTGATGCACTTAAAAGTCCAGAAACAAACATCAAATTCTGGTCAAGTATCCTAACTGGAAAATCTCCTTAGAAAAGGAGGAAAAATAATTTCCTGAGGAGTACAGGCACGCTTTCTGTACAATTACTGGTTTCTCAACACCTCCTGCCCCAACACACCCTCTGCTTGACATGGTTTTGGGGTTTTTGTTCTTGCTGTGGTCTGCTGCCTTCAAAAGTCTTAATAGTGTAGGAGAAGGTGGCTTTTGAACACTTAGGTGTGACACAGGAACAATATCTGTTTTCTACTGAGGTACAATCTCCTCTCTCATGCGAAGGAAGTCTCCAGCCAAAGGGCTGTTCCCAGAACCATGTAGACAAGCACTGGGCTGCTCTCCCCAGTTTTACAGGAGGAGCTGATGGTCCAAACCTCAGAGGAATCACTGGGCTAGTGGATCCTCTTGTGAACTAGACTTACCCTTAGAGGACAAATGCTGTAAAGCAGTAGTTATCAGGCAAGATTAATTTCAAGCCCTCTATCATCTCTCCCCAGTTTCAAAATATTCATAATATCTATAAAGACTCCACAAACATACAGGTTTTTAACAAAGGAGAATAAGATAAATGGGTGGGTTGTCCTCCCTTGATATTTAAATTACAATACGCACGTTCACCTAATTTCCCAGCACTGTTATTGCTTTTAATTAGTTTCTATTTTGCTTTTAATTTGCTGAGTAATTATGTTCTATTCACAACTCAGCTTTCCAAGAACACTAAAGCAGACGCAATGGTCAAGGATCTCTACGTTGAGAACGCACAACTGCTGAAGGCTTTGGAGATGACAGAACAGCGGCAGAAAACTGCCGAAAGGAAAAACTATTTACTAGAAGAAAAAATCGCCAACCTCAATAGAATAGTGAAGAACCTGGCGTCCCCATCGTTTAATTCAGCATCCGAGATAAGGTCATAGCAGAGCTGTTAAGGCTGCCACAGTCCCATGCACTTTACTGAAATGTTAATATTTCAGCTTTTCACTGTGTTGCCTTTTTGTATCGATGTATTTTAGTTAACAGATTCCTCCAGGGAGAGGACAGAGCTAAATCCCAAACCGGACACTGCCAAAAGAGAACTTTTGTTTATTCCCACACTGGTTTTTTTGCTAAGTTTTGCCTAAAAGTAATGTTCCCTATGTAAAAAAAAAAGTCACATTTTTCTAGGGTAACTTATTTTGATACTTTGGTTGTAATTTAAATTATAAATCCTGAATTTACTGTACTGAATCAATTATTCCTCTCTAGAATGAAGCCAAGGTCTATTAGGTTACTGAATTCAAAACTTTAAATTATTTTTGGCTTTCTAGGATATTTCATGGTCCAAACTTAGTAATAGTGATAGGTGAGTCTTCAACACTGTCAGTATAACTGCTGTTGAAAGCAAGACTTTCCTGATATGGTCTGTTCCCTGCAAACTCATTCTGGTTTCCCTAAAGCAATGTGCTTCTGGGTTATTCTTCATGGCTGTTTCTCTGCAGAGCTCAGAAAAATGTTTTCTTCAAAAAAACGTAAGTTGACTACTGCCTCCAACTGAGTGTTACGATATTTCATCCGAAGAGATTATCCAGCTGGCAAATAAAGACTACTATTATTTTCTTTCTAAGCTGTGCTGCCAGAAAACTTAAAAATTTTAGAAGCCTTAATTTGGTTTTTGTATGTGGAAATAAGTTATGCTAAACAAAGGAAGAGTCACTACACAGAGTGAAGATGTGAGGTTTGTTTGTATAATTTGTAAATTTAGCAGAGCAGTGGGGGTATGTTTATTAAACAACTGGCAGAAGAATGAAGAGGGGGACTCAAGTGATTTCTTCAGTGAAATCCTGTCGCTGGGTCTCCCCACAGGGACTTTTGCCATTAATGCAGTGTTCAAAACGAACATTATTAAGTGTTCATTTCAAAAGTTTCAAATTTCAAAATGAAATTATCACTCAACCTGAGTGATAGTTTGGAAAGGCCTGTCCTTTGTAGTAGGTCCTAGTAGAGAATATGTTTGTAACTACTTGTGAAGAACCACATTCGATGTGAATATGAAGAACTCAGGGAATAACAGCCTAAATTAGCTTCCTTCAACACTGTAAGTGTGGATATTAATGTCAATAGATGAAGCTAAATATGCATTAGGAAAAGCAGGATAAACCAAATTGTATTTGGATGATTATTACCTTAGTACTCCTAGACCAACACGCAGAAGTGCTGCAGTCCTGAGGGTGAAAGAGCATCAGGGTTTGTAATGACAGGTAATGCCTCCTATTTCATCAGTCGATGAGGCTAATGAGGAAATGCAAATTTTCTGGGAACACCTTAGAGACTGAGATGGGTCTGGCAGAGAAGCAGCTGAGTAAGAGCTCGCATGTTCAAATGCTTGTGTATAACCTCTTGCTGCACATAGTCTAAATGCCTTGCCTCCCTCAGACCAGTAGGAAGCACTTAAACAATGTAAATAAAACTGGTGAAAGGGGCCATACTGGTGATACTTGAAACCGGACCTCTTTAAATATGCACGAGCTGAGGATGCAGAGGAAGAGGGTGAGATGCTTTGTCTCTGAGACCGCTAGCCAGGTGATCAATGCTGACAGCATTTGTAATGAGCCAAAAGTCCTGCCAGAAACCGGAATAATACTGCCTACAAGCTGTGGAGTAACCTATGGAAAGTGACTTTCACTCAGTACTAATTAGCCTGTGGCTGTAGGGGGTGATAAACTATGTGCATATGGTTACTTACCAGTTTTGGAGGGTTGAGGGACTGAATTAGACATACAGGGTATGACCTCCTCATCCTCCGTTGCTTTTTGCGGGCGCTATAGTGGAAATGGAAATATAATCATGTAAGAAGAACTTGTTGGAGTATGACGAATTTCCTTATAAACGATTTCGCTGCTATGCTGTTCTCAGTGCCTGTACTAGGTGTTTCTCTAAGCAATCTCAAATTCAAGGATTTACATATCCCATTTTTCAGAGGGTACAAAAGTTCTTTTCAAAAATTCGAAACGTGTCAAATTGACAAATTGCATTGATATAAATCAGAGCTTTTAAAAACGTGAAGCGGTAACATCTTGTTCCTTTTAATCAAAAAGTGGATTAAGTTATAATAAGTCTCTATGTGGGGGTAGCAGGGCTGTGTGTTAGCAGTATGGGGATAAAGCACACCCTAAAACCATGCCCATGCTACAGAAATTAGCAAAGTTTCCAAGTACTTCCAGGAAACAATTTAAATGAGGCTCAGATTATTAGAACTGTATTTGGAAAAATTTCATTAGCTACCACACTTTAATGCTACTTCATATCTTGGCCTAGGTTTACTTCTAACACTCAGTCTGTGCTCGAAGTCTGAATGCTGAACAGACGAGTGCTTCGCTTAAACTATTATGGAATTAATTCCACATTATTCAGTTTTAAAGGCTAGACTACTTAAGTAATTATTTTCATCTCCTGGTGGTTACCAGGTTTTTATAAACCAAACATACAGATGTTTCTAGAGCACAGTACCAAAAAGGGAGCCCAGATGTTGGAATGGAAGGGAGAAACAGAGACAAGGGACTTTGATTTCTCCCTTTCTCACCCTGTCCTGCCTTGCTCTACTTTTCTTTCGCGTAGCTTCAAAAAAACTGACCAGCCACAGGAGAGAGGAGGAGGAGGAGGGGGGAAATATTCTTTAGACCAAACTCCAATTTCACTGGAACACTTGTGTGAATTAATTCTCAGAAGTGCCTTGAGTAATTCCATGTTCTTGAGTCTTTCTGTACTGTACCGGTTTTGTTGCTACAGGACAATTCAGGACAAAGGTAGCGCCGCTTAGAAATGAGCGTCACATTATTTATTGGTTCATTATATCAGCTCAAAAGATAAAGCAGCTGGTTTTACAGAGTCTAGGCTACTGAAAAGAAACATATAAACATGTCAGTTATTGGCCATTAGCTGTCTTTTGTGCATGAATGTGTCTCCTATGCAGTATAGGCATCTTAAAGATACCAAAGTATTTAATGGTATTGTACCTGTCTGAAGTCACTGAATTTCTAGGCCTCATTTACACAAGTCTTGCCAATTAAGATATTGACTACTTTATTACCAGAAGGTGTTTTAGATGTTTTCACCTCTTGCTTTATAAATCACTGTGAAAATAAAGGCACACGGATATCTCGGGTTGGGAGTTTTTGGAAGAGGAAAGAGCCCAAGTTAGATTGAAATGCACTGAATTCACACAGTTGAAGTGCTACTTGTCTATTTAAAATTATTTAAAAGTATAGATTATCGCACATTCTCCAATTATGACTTTAAACATGAGGAAAATTGAATTCATTGCATTCTGATTGAAGGGGGGGGGTGAAAAGTATTGTAACATATTTGATTTTAGCCAGATTATATGTAAGGCAGAGCAGGGGCCAGACTGGATCTATCAAGAGTAAAATCCTTTTGTTTACTTTTAGCAAATGGCATCACTGTCTCTCAGGTTTTCCATCATTTACCTGTTCAGTCTCCTGTTCGGTGTCAGATGCTGTCACTTTGTGACAAACGACTTCTGTATAAATGAAAAACAATTGTGTATTTTTTTTTCTACTGAGTTTGTTTTGTTCTGCTGTAATATATTGTCCTTTACAACATCATGTAAAACTGTAAGATGAACCAATTTACACATTATTTATAATGAATGTAAAAAAATTAAAAATAAATAAATTGCTGTATGATCCATACTCGTGGCTTTTTTTTTTTTTTTATCCGAGATGAAAATATATCAGTATCTTCCCATGGAAGCTGTAGGTATTTCAAGTAGTTGGATTTGTTGAATGCATACACAAAGTTATAATAGTAAAAAGGGTGGTTTGGAAGTGAATAAAAGCAGTTTATTCCATTATTAAAGTGTAAAATTGAGTAAAGTGTGAAAAAGTGATGGGTGGTGAACAAACCTCATCCTGTTTCCAGGCACAGCCCTCAAGTTGCACACCTATTCCTCACCTTTATATGGAAGATATCGAGTGCTGTTTATTGCGTGCTTTTTCTGTTTAACCTAAAACTTACTCTTTTTGTCACCCATGTTAAAGGGGTCACTGAGCCCCCCCTGTGGGGCCTGTGCTATCCCTGCTGGCGAGGCCGCGCTGCCCCCTCAGCGCTCCCCCGCCGGCTGAGGGGGGTCCCCGGGGCCAGGAGGGCGGAGAGACAGTGTGGGCAGGCCGTGGGGTGCCCAGGGGGCCACGTTTGGGTGCGTGGGGAGCCCTCTCTGTCCCGTGGGGTCGGCCATGAAGGAGGGGGGTCCGCCATGAAGGAGAGGGGGGGGTCCCTTCCCGCCTCACGCCGGCGCCCTCCCCGCCGCGCGGGGGCGCTGTGGCGGCGCGCGCCCTCCCCTGCCCCGCGGCCTTCCCCCGGAGGGCGGAGGCCGCTTTACCCATA